TGACCAGTGAGTTGAAATTATCCTTCAAAGTAAAAATTTCAATTAGGCAATGACATAATATTACAACTAAAACGATATATGGTCATAGTATTAAAATATGTTTTTATCTGAACCTTTTCTAACCAATTTCTTAAATTTATGAAGCACAAAGGCATTTATTTTTCCAGGTGGCTGGACAGAAAAGCAAATCACAATCAGTTAAAGAACCCTAACATCATAGAATACTAATTTTGCTACCAATTTCTCTCCCAATTGTGAAAACCCTAATTTACGATGTACTAATGAAATCAGAGAGAAATTAGAGAGATTCGTACCCTTTCTCATATAGATCATGATACCGACGGATCAAAAACGCAATCCCCACTCATTTCTCCTCTCAGTTCGACGGATGAAGACGAGTCGGCTCGATTTCTCCGGCGGAAGCTTCAAGAATTGCAGGGATAGAGAGACGCCACCGAAAAGCTCTGATTACGTGAGATGAAACACGCAATTCCATCTCATTTCTCCTCTCAATTCGTCAGATCAACAGCCTCATAGGATATCGCCGTTTTGGTTTCGAGGAAAAGAGAGAAGTCGAGAGAGAAATAAAAAAACGAGGAGTTTTTTTTTTTTGGTTTTGTTCTTTCTTCAAACTAATCAGAGCAGGACACGTGCTCATATCTAAACTCATCAAAAACATCTTAAATAAGATATACATCTTAGCATTTGTTCGATCAATTCATTAAATTTAATAATTTTTTCCTCTAAGATATCTCTAAGATATCACCGATAAACCTGCTCTAAGTATGTAACCGGTTGATATGTTCGGAAAAAAAAAGATAAGTGTAAAATTTTATTTATTCTGAATTTGTGCATATATTCATCAATCGGTACAAATGAAAATAATTATTTGTCTACTAAAATTATCAAAAAATAGAGTTAAATGAGAAGATTTCTTCCCTCTTCAAAATGGAGAAATTTTTTTTACCTGAAGTTAAGTTTTTTTTTATTTCATTTTCTTATAATTTTTTTCATTTCCTCTAATATATCAACCAGTCAAACCGTAATGTTTGTTTTTACTACCATTTTTCTCTTATGAATTTGTCGTTTTCTTTTGTTAGTTATTCGAAGATTATAGGGATTATACATATTTTAAATCTATAATTACGAAAGTTTCAATTTCACGAGTTAATACTTGTAAAACTTTCATTGTCTTCTATTTTGTTTGGGTGTTTAAATCATATATAAATATATAAATAAGTTGTAATCATGACATCAGAATCCCAAAATTTCATGACTTTTGTTTCAATGAAGGTTTTTAATACACAGTTTAAGTTATAAATTAATGGCAAATAAAAATATGGAGTGGGGGTAATTATGTTTCATAATGTAGTAAATAAAATGTAAGATAAAAGAGAACAGTGTGAAAGACTGAAAGATACACTGTGTCCTAAAGTGGTAACTCTTTCTCATTTAATATTCCTTTTCTGAAAATTCTCTCTGGCTCGTTTCTGAAACCATTACAAAAGCACACTGTCGTTTTTTTTTTTTTCGATTGTGCATACCACGTGACTTACCCCCACTTCCTTCTCCAATGGCTCCGAATGGAGAAAGCGTATCGGGCAGAGCGGATCAAGCGAATCAAGCGTATCAAGCAGAACAAAAGCGGATCAAGCAGATCTGGCGGAACAAAAGCGGATCACGCGGTTCGAACGCTTTAAATTTGTGTTGAATGGTAAAAGCGGATCACACAGTGTGAGTGAAATATTTATATTGTAAAAAACGTTAATTTTAAATAAAATATTTTACATAAACTATACATACTAAAAACAATTATATTAAAATATATTTGTAATACTGGTTTAATATATTATTATACATGTATTTAATATTTTATTATTTTAAAAAAAAAATTGATTTGTAAATGAATGAAAATGGTTAATGGCAATATAAAATTATTTATTGAAAAGAAAAAGAAAAAGAAAAAATTATTTGTTATTTATGATAATGAGAACAAAATAAAAAATTAAGTATTTTTGGTAAATGAAGAAAGTGAATAATGTTAATGGAGAAGTATGATTTTAATTTAACTACCTATATTATTTTTAACGAATAAAAAATTATAATAACAAAAATAAAAAAATTTCATAGGCGGAGGAAACGCATGGACCACCTCTTATTTGCAATGGAACAAGATCCGTAAGGTACAGTGTATTTTTACTCTAGTAATTGTACTGCAAGTGGTACATTAATATTATATTATTTCTCAAAATGAAACGTTTTGTAATTGTTATATAATGCTGAATGGTGACTAGTGTGCGTATGATCTGCTCCACCGGAAGAACTGCTTTTTTCCCACCTCTCCATTCAAGCCCAATATCTCAAATTTCTTATTTAGAACGTTTACTCAATACTTAAATAATTAAAATTCAACAATGTGTAAACATCACAATGGGAAATTTACATATATATCAGATATATAAAGTGATCTACATCTCTTATTATACTCTAGACTATCTTTCTTACATTTTTGATGTGAAATTTCTAGTAAAACAATGTTTATTTAGTTAAACTTTAAAAAAAAAAAAAAAAAAAAAAAAAAAAAAAAACTTTATTTTCGTCATCGACCAAAATGTGAAACAGATATACCATATTCTATTCTTCATTGAATACCAATTTTTTTTTTTTTAATATCAATATGGCATTGCGAGTTAAAACAATATCAGAAAAAAAAGAAGAGAAAAATAAACTTATGAGAACAAAGAATCTCCGTATTCCTGTTGCATCACCTTAACTCTGATTATTCATAAGAAAAAAAATACGTAACTATTTTTTTTTTTTTTCCGATAAAAAATAAAAAATACGTAACTATAGGAGTTTCAATGAAGGTTTTTAATACACAGTTTAAGTTATAAATTAATGGCAAATAAAAATATGGAGTGGGGCCATAGGACCATATATATATTTTCTGAGTTGTTACCATCAACCACTATACATATAATTTTCATCATGTTATGAGATCTACCAGATCTTTTCCTCATTTCCTGTTCTGTGTGTATTAAGAAGGATTTAGCAAAGTATTTAATACAATATTACGTAGATGGTCAAAACTTATATAACTATTATTGCAAATAATTTTGCCTCTTGTATTAGATTTAAAAATCAATGAAAAGAAGACATCAGCTAATCGTCGTTAAAGTGTTAAACAACAAAATATTATTAAAAATAGACGTTGAACATTTAATTTATATAGAAGATTGTTAGTCTTAATACGGTATTAAAAGTTACCAATAAATCCAATTATGTAATACACAATCAAGAATCAAGTTCAAAATGAATAAACAAAATCATTTTTCATTTTTTGTTGATGTGAACTAATTATTATTTTGAAAATAAAGGAAAGATCCTTACAGAACAACATATATTTTGCGTTAATTTTACATGTGTAAACTAAGTTTCCAAGAAAAGAGACTAAAATTTATTCCAACATGTATATAAACAATTAAATGTCATATCTAGTATGTATATACGCAATAATGATCTATATCATAAATAAAACAAATAAAAAGAACCATACTACTATAAATTATAAAAATGAGTCGCTATTTTGAAAGTGAGTTAGGCATTCTTTTAAATACGACGTCTACAATTAGGAATAATTAATCGGATTAATGAAAGTAGGTTTAATAATTGTACGGGCGTGCCAAGAGATTAACACTAAACAAAGATTTAGCTTTAGAGTTAAATGTGGTGGTTGCGAGGCTCCAGTTTGGCCTGTCGCGACACATTGGCTCTACTGCATTATGTTACCGCACGTGTTCCATTATTTCTTACTCCTTCATTATTTTTCATTTAGTTTTCTATTTTCCCTTGTCGTGAAGGGGAGAAAAAAAAAGAAAAACAAAAGAAGATGACATTATTATCATTATACACATAAGTATATTATCGAAACTAAGTTTTGTTTTGTTTTTTCTCGACAGCCTGGATATTAATGCATTAATCAAAATCGTATAAAGCTATTGTACAACCCATGACACTAATACGTCTGCCACTTTGATTATCATTGATATGAACATACGTAAATTAAAAAGTATAAGTGGTCTTTGCTCGCATTAGAATGTTACTGATGATAGTTAAGATGAATAAGTTGTTCCAAGTGTCTTGATCATAAGACTCTGCACAAAACTGACATCAAAAGGTGTTTTTTGATTAAGAAGAATTGGACCGTTCCATCGTCGATCATCAACATGCCCTTGAAAATGGCCTTCCATTTCCCACGCTTTAGGAAGAGTACATTATGTGTGATTTTGGTCCTTGATTAAGATCTCGAACAACCAGACTTAGCTTACTTTAATGTGCACATTCCTTTTGCAAATCGCCAAAGAAATTTGCAGCGTGTTTTTTTTCATATCCAAGATTTAACTGTTGCATCATTCTCCTATCTCTATCCACAAATCATAATGAAAGATAAACTTCAAAATTGAATATGAGAAGATTGAGAAATAATTTGAGAGAACGTCTTAAAACCTTAGAAGCTTCAAGCGAATTTTCGTAAAATGATATTATTTTCTATATATTAATTGACAAGTAAAAGTTTAAAACAACTTTACCATTAAACATTTTATTATTCTAAGAATATCGCAAATTCAAATAAGTAATATTATACCTTTACAAATCAATTAAAACGTCTTATATATAATTTATGTAGAAAATACACTAATTTACAAAATAATCAATTATAATCATACATTAGGTGGATATATGCCGTATAGTCAAGGTGTCATTATCCTATTAAAGAAAATAACATTGTAGATTATATTACGTGCGCATATATCTTCCGCAACCTTTTTTCTTATTAGAAGAGACATTGATCGCCATAATAAGGGGAAAATAATTAGCAAATTTAAATAAATTCTGCATTATAAAAAAAAACACTAAAAGAGACAAATAATTAACAAATTCGAAGACAACGATAACGAGAGAACAATATTATAAATAGAGGTAAGAGGAGACATAAGGCAAAATTCAGACCCACTCGTCTCTCATCACTCACACTCAATGGAGACATTACCATCGTCCCCACCATCATCACCGCCGGAGATTCTCGACCTTGACTCTATCAAAGCTCTCAAAATCCTCGGTAAAGGCGCCACAGGTACTGTCTTCCTCGCACACGACGTCGTTTCAACCTCCTCTTCTTCTTCTTCTCCCTTCGCCGTCAAGCTCGTCCACAAATCCTCCGCCTCCTCTCTCCGCCGTGCACGGTGGGAAATCGAGGTCCTCCGTCGTCTCTCCGTTGACTCTAATCAAAACCCTTTTCTCCCACGGCTCTTAGCTTCCTTCGAGTCACCCGAATACTTCGCTTGGGCCGTCCCTTATTGCTCCGGCGGTGATCTTAACGTCCTTCTTCACCGTCAAAACGACGGCGTTTTTAGCTCTTCTGTTATTAGATTCTACGTGGCTGAGATCGTATGCGCGCTTGAGCATCTTCATACCATGGGGATCGCTTACAGAGACTTGAAACCAGAGAACATTCTGATTCAGCAATCCGGTCACGTTACCTTAACCGATTTTGACCTTTCCCGGAGCCTCAAAAAACCCACCCGGCCCCAATTCTATCAACCCGACCCGGAATTGATAACCGATCGTAAAAAAAGTCGGAGCTTTTCTCGGTTGATCTCGCCGGCGGGGGAGAAAAACAAAACAGGGTTGAAGAAAACGAGATCCGCAAGGGTTAACCCGATTAATCGCCGGAAAACGAGTTTTTCCTCCGGCGAACGTTCAAATTCTTTTGTTGGAACCGACGAGTACGTCTCGCCGGAGGTAATTCGCGGCGACGGTCACGACTTCGCTGTAGATTGGTGGGCCCTCGGCGTTTTGACATACGAGATGATGTACGGAGAAACGCCGTTCAAGGGGAAGAGCAAGAAGGAAACTTTTCGTAACGTGTTGATGAAGGAACCCGAGTTCGCTGGAAAACCCAACGACCTCACTGATTTGATCCGGCGGTTACTGGTGAAGGATCCGAATAGACGGTTAGGTTGCCACCGTGGCGCGGCGGAGATAAAGGAGCACGCTTTTTTCGCGGGTGTGAGATGGGATTTGTTAACGGAGGTGTTACGACCTCCGTTTATTCCGTTAAGAGATGACGGAGAACTAACGGTAGGTGGGTTTGATATTAGGGAACATTTTGAGAAACTGAAGACGACTCCATCATCAGCTCCTCCGTCACCGTTACAGTCTCCGCCGCACGTGTGTCGTAAAAACGATCCGTTTATTGATTTCTGATCCACGTGTGGGGAATCAATCTAACACGTACAAAGACGTTGTAGATAATTATTTTTTGTATTTTCAGTTTTTTTCTGATTTTCATTTTGTATGAAAATCATTGTTAGAACAAGAAACTGGAAAAGGAAATGTATTTCCCCTGACGTGAAAATTATGAAAATTATAATCCTTTGGTATTGAAGACTTCGCTTGCACAATCCGAAGAAAATATTTATACAAAATAACGTAATTTAGATTTAAAAAAAAAAGAGAGATGTTTTTTTTTTTTTTTAAAAGGTATAATTATAAGGAATCATTAGTTTATATTGATTTAGAATGTCAAGGAAAAAGATGGAGTTAGTGGGTATTGGATTGGATACGAATTATCAAGAGTTTGGGTTGAAAATGTGGTAGAAACAAAAAAATAAAGTAAAGAATAAGATGGGAATGTGTAATCATAAAATTCATAATTACACGGCATAAATCCTTCCATAAAGCACGTTACCTGATAATTTACACCTGAGACTCCACATTTGTATACATATCTTTTCTTCTTTCACATACGTTGATAGCACTCAACATTTATACAAGCCATAAGTAAAAGACGAAAAAGAGTTAAGATGTGGAATCGGTACTTCGTTTTTTAATAAGCTATGATAAAGTAATTTCATTTCGCTGGCTTTATTAGTTAATCGTGGATCATCAAAGTTCTAGTGATTCAGTAGGGTAAATGGTTTTTAGCTATTAGATAAAAGATATTGAACTTAAGACAGCAAGTAAGTGAATCCCAACCACACTTTAGACATGTTTATCGAAGTGTTGGGGCACCTTGATGCCACATCTTTGATTACTTTATTAATTAATAATGTTTTAGTTGACAAAGATCTAGTCATCGGAGCAAATTATCCTCACGTCAAGATGCCCCAACACTCTTATAAAAATTGATTACAACTTATCAATTGGAGAATCTTTTATTCGGATTCGAATTCCATGTTATTTTTAAGTAAAGCAAGAAATTGTTAAGCCTGAAACTGAATTAATAATCCAGTACTACTTACTGATATTATCATATTAAGTTATTAACAAGTTATGATTAATCTGTCTCTTCTTCTTTAGAAATCAAAGTTACTAGATATCATTCCTATAGTGTCATAAAAGATTATCACGGAGAGATATGTAAAGAAGTGGTTCAAGATCCTCTCTACGATGGATCTAAGACTAGCTTAATTTTTGTGTTTGTATGATATTAACAAAAGATGCAAATATGTTGAGATATGGAGCAAAAAGCAAAGTCACGGGTAGAACAAAGCCTACCCATATTAAGAATACACCTACAAGCTAAAAAAGATAGATGTTTGGCTTTGAAAATGAAAATTTAACTTTTATTTAGGTGTTCGGCCAAAAAGTTGTATAGATAGTTGGTATATCTGTGTGCCAAAAAAAAAAAAAAGATAGTTGGTATATCTATGTTGACAAAGATTAAAAGCATAAAGCAATCTTATATATTATGCATATATATTGAAACTTGTCTATACTGTAGAGTACAGTACTAGATTTTCTTAGAATGGTAAGAAAAATTAGAGCCTTCAAAATTGGTATGTTAACAATTGCATAAGTTTTTTCATTTGAAATTTGATAAAGATAAATTAATTTTAGTCTCATATTGTTCGTTAATTTGGGTTTCCCGTTTATTTTTTTCACTAGTAAGTGAGCAAATTAAAGTGGATTTTGAGTAGCACTGAAAAAGACAAAAGGAAGGTAAAATTGAAAAAGAAAGAGGGACAAAGCCTAAAATTTTAGGTTGGCATTTATCAAAAATGACAAACGATATTTTATTCCATTAAAGCCCATCAAGATAATTAAATTAAGTAAAATTTAGTTAGAAAACAAAATAAAATACTCCAATTGTTGTGTTCGAAGGAGTAAAAAAACAAAATAGTTTTAATGCTACGAAGGTCACCTCACGTGTTGTGTTCGGCCCAACCCTATTCCAATCATTCCAGCAGCATCCCAAATCACGTTACTCTTCAGTTTTCTGTTGAGGTCTATCCTCCTCTAGAGTCTAGAGGGAAAATTATTCGAAGATTTTGATTAACGTAATTGTCACTAATTAATCAGGGAGAATCACTTGTTGTTTTCTTCTTTTTAAATATATCTGCATTTTTTTTGGCCATGTAACGTAATTGTCACTAATTAAATTCATGTGTTTGTCCTTTGTTTAGGGAAATATCAAGGGTTTAGGGTTTAGGGTTTAGGGTTTAGCGTTTAGGGTTTACGGTTTAGGAAAATATTAATATAGCCCTTGTTTTAATTTATTAGAAATAAGAGTGCACATTGGATAGAATATTAGAATACACGCATGATAGTGATACCATTTTAGTATTATATCTACCTCTTTTTAGTTTTTAGCTTTTACCCGTGTTCAAAAAATCGCTAGGCGCTAGTCGGGCGGTGAGGGTGCGCCTAGCGCCTAGCAAGAAAATCGGGGATTACACGGGGATTAATCGGGGATTAGTTTTAGGGCTATTTAATATTTTAAAAACATATTAATCCATTATAATTAAGAAATTTATATAATATTATTTTAAAAATTGTATTAAACACATGAAAACAAGATTTTAATTTCAAATTTATGATTTTTATACAAATTACGAACATAAGTAGGACGTTTTGTAGATAAAAAAAAAAGTAAAAAAAAAAAAAAAAAAAAAAAATGGGCTAGGCGCCGTCTAGGCGGGCTAGGCGGCCGCCTAGGCGGTCTAGGCGGACGAAAAATCGGGTTTACGCGGGGTGTAATCAGTAAACCGATTTCTTAAACCGATTATGCATTAAACCCATCGGTACAGCACCGCCTAGCGCCTAGGCGCCGATTAATCGGCCGCCTAGCCCGATTTTTAGAACAAGGGCTTTTACTATTAGCTTCTCGAGCATATGAGCTAATTGATATGTTCCTTCCTTCATCTAATTCGTTTATGCAAATATAATTATCCTTAGGATATTGAAAGAAAAATTAAGTAAAATCTGATCGAATATGAAATATTTGGTCTTTGAAGATCTTACTTTAAGTATCGTTAATTAGTTGGAAGATCTTACTTAAGTTGTAAATAACTCATCTATAGAAAACTTGTGATCTCGTGTGTAAAGGATACAGAAATACAAACTCTTTCAAAATCAATTGGGAATTCTCTGGTAAATCTTCCTAAGCTGTTTACTAATATATATTTCCCCCTTTTTGATATATATTCTTTGCTTGGTGTACACGAATGCCTCCAATAAGCCCTAATAATTTCTCTGGTCCAGAATCAAATGTTATGTGTATAATGAGAGTCAATTTGTAAAATGACTCATTCGATGGCCTTGTTTTCTTGTATACCATTATGTATTTGGTCTTTTGTTAATTATAGAGAAGAGATCCTATTCGAAAAAAGAAAATTTTCTGTTAAGTTATTTTACAAGTAGTGAACAAAGTGTATTTCGAGTAGCACTAAAACAGACAAATACAAAAAAGAAGAATAAAAGATGAAAAAGAAACGGGACAAAGCCTATAATTATAGGTTGGCATTTCTCGAAACTGACAATCGGTATTTTATACTAAAACCCATCAAAATAATTAATATTGGAAAAACTAAATAAGTAAAGAGACAAAAGAAGATTTAGATACTACAAAGGTGGTCACATGTTGTGTTCGGCCAACCTAAATCCAGAAGCAACCGAAGGCAGGGAGAGTTAAAGAATTTGTACAACTTTCCTCTTCTTCTTCTTTAATTCATGTAAAAAAAAAATTCAATTTGTTTTGATGGTTTGTCAGATTTTTTATCAAAATATATAATCAATAGGTTCAAACTTACTATACAGTTTACACAAATGGTTTGTTTGAATCTCAACTTTACATACCACAAAGTATGAAAAAAAAATTTGTGTTTGACACTAAACCATAAAAATCACAATCAAATAGGGACCAACGTTGGCCCAATTAGTTTGGACTCTAAGGCTATATGAGCCCAAAACATCTAAAATTTTGTAAACAAGTATATAAATATATTTAACTAAAGACATAAGCAATGAATGCAGTGACATAAAGAGTAGACCCATGTAGTGAAGCAGCGACAGGTCCTGAGGTTAACACTCACCGCAAAAATGCTTACAGAGTCTCACATGCAATGCCTCTGCCATTTATTATACTTTTTATTATGCGTTTATTACCCCCACAACGCTTTCTTTTTAATGTTTCATTTAATTCTTCTTCATGTGATTTTAATTTTTCCACATTATATGTATTTGGCTCTAGAATAAATGTTCTTAAACAACCCAACTAAATGCATTCCTACTCTATTGTTATATGTATATGGTATAAAATATGTAAGAAAAAACAAAAAAGTTTACTCGAGACCATAAATACGAACATATCCGTATGGTATTTCCATCATTCCATGTATCTCTTTTATTCGGATATTCCCAATATTGACTCTTGTCAGTTGTCACAATAAACATAATTGACTAATTTATTTTAAAAATTGCGGAAACTGGTTATCTTTATCAACGGTTTAATGTTTTTAAACTGGCTATAAAAAATGTATATGTACATATAAAATAGTGCAAAAAACCAAACAATTGATTTCAAAATGATAGCAATCGTTTGATGAATGAAACTGGAGTTTATATAATGTTGGTCATCCCATAATTCAACTAAACGTAGCATACAGTTTATATCTTTTTAATAATGCATAACCATAAATATAATAATGTCTCTAATAAACAAAAAAAAACTCAAATTACATAGAAAAATCAATTTTTCAAACAAGCCCTTAAAGGTTTACCACAAAGACAGTCGTTAAACATAAACGACGCCGCTTCAAGATGATCGAACGGTGAACCCACCGGAATCCTCCCACAGAGATGGTTATGGCTAAGATCCAAATGACCAATAAACGACGCACCAGAGATCGATCTTGGGATTGGTCCCTTGAGATTATTATACGACAAATCAAGAACAGTGAAGTAAGACCTTGGTCCAAACCCTTCCGGTATCTTCCCTTGTAGCAAGTTCCGGCTCAAATTCAGGTTCATCACCGACGACGTCATCAGAGTTTGAGGTATCTCTCCGGAGATTTTGTTTCCGTCGAGGTTAAGTGTTGCTAGAACCGACATACGTCCTAACGACGGTGGGATTGTACCGTAGAGTTGGTTACCGGAGAGATCCACGTCAGCTAACCGGTAGATATTGGTTAAGGATTCAGGGATCCGACCGGTTATTCGGTTACCGGATAATAACGCACGACTGAGCATTTTTAATCTTCCGACGTCGGAAGGGATTACGCCGGAGATTAAGTTGTTACGGAGATCTAAATGCATTAAGCTAGAGAGATTGGTTAACGATTTTGGAATTGAACCGGAGATTCGGTTATCGGCTACGTTTAAAACAGCTAACCGGTTTAATCTTCCGATGTCGTATGGAATCCCACCGGAGATTTGGTTTCCGATTAAGTCGAGTGTACGGAGAAAAGGGAGACGAGTGATACATTTAGGGATTTCGCCGGAGATGCCTTTCCAATCGGCGATTGTAATGGCGGAGAGACGAGTGAGGTCACATATCGAGGCGGAGATGTGGCCGGTCATGTAACCGGTTCGATGAGCTCGTTCGAAGATTGGATCTTCTGACTCGCCGCGGAGGTTTATGTCGGCGACTCGGTGAGTGAGTGAGTCGCAGCTAATACCGTACCAGTTGTGGCAACAGTCTTGGCCGGTCCAAGAGTTGAAAATGCCGAGGTAAGGCTCGTGAAGAGCTGATCGGAAAGCTAGAAGTGCACGGCGGTCTGACGGCGGACAACACGTGGCGGATGAGATTAGAAGGAGAAAGAGTAAAACGACGACGTTGAGATTCATTGCTTGAAGATTCCTTTTTTTGTGACAGTGTTGGGAATGGGTACTTGATGGGTGAGGGAAGAAGATAAACGTTAATGGCGTATAAATAGAGGATAATAAATAAAAGAGGGAATTTTTAAAAATAATAATAAAAAAAAGAAAAAGGACAATACTTGGCTTTTTTTTTTCTTTACGTGAAATTATTAGAATAATAATTCGATATGGGTATGATTAGATATTTTGGCCTCATAACAATAATGAAGCTTGTGTTCGTGTAATCTTGATTAGTCAAGAAATTCTACATCAAATTAGTCAACAACAAATGTCAAATTCATGTAAGATATCTTAAACACAAAAAAACGAGAACGTAAGAAATTGGTAATAACTTTTAACATGTGGGTTTGTTGTTTGAATAACATGGGATTGTGTGGTTTGTAATAACTAGTTGTAGCAATAATAAGGCCACAAATATGAAGAAACATACACATGGATTTATAATGTTGAGCACATTCATTAGATGTTAATAGAAAAGCTTGCAGACAAATTAAGATAGAGACAGGAACTGAAAGTGGGGGAGAGTTCCCATGCAAATAATTGAAGCTACGATTAGATTTTCCGATGCGACTTGCCCCGGTTGGATAAGCTTTTGCTTATTACAATCATATCACAGGGTCAACATGACGCCACGTGGTGTTGTTTTTGCATTTTGATCCCTTTTTTTTTTTTCCTAAGGCATTCTTATTTTTTAATCATGTTATGAGATGACGACGATGCACATCTTCGAGTCGCAAATAATTGTGGTTCTGTTACTTATCTTGACTATATTGGGCTAAGATTGTGCTTTAAAGCATATAATTATAAATAAATGGGAGTTTTGACAAATAAAAACATTTACCGTTTATGATTTTTCACCGTCCCTATCTGATTCAGCACCGACGGTTTTGTAATAAACGGCGGCCACATGAAACTTACATACTAGTTACATATATAATTGTGATTTGTGAAACATGTTTTTGTCCTTAACATTCTTAAATGCGAGACACAGTAATGTCCAAAGTTTAATAGTAGTAGTATTTTTTTTTTTTTGGTAATTCGCAGGAGACAATTGTCTCCTAACCTTTATTAAGAATAATTAAAATTACAAACGAAAATTTCGTCGGAACGCAGTCCCATTAACATCGTCCAATAAAACCGGTTTAATAATATCCGGGCAAACATCAAAAGCATGAAAACCAAGCGGTAGAGAGAAAGCATAGTTTGCTAATCCGTCTGCGAAACGATTAGCTTCCCTATACACGTGGGAAATACGGACTATCTAGTCCCTCGAGATAAAGCCATAGCACAAACGTACTAGGAACGACAGCGGATGAGATTCACTAATCCCTGTCTTGAGAAAACCAACAATCAACTCCGAATCCACCTCTAGTTCAAGACGAGTTATCTTACGTTCCCAAGCGATATATAGACCGTAATAAACTCCCCATAACTCTGCTAAGGGTGCAGAGCATATACCAATATTCACTGCAAAGATGTTGGTGTTGGCCTAGATCTTTTTTTTTCTTATCTGGAGGGGTATATATGATATGGTTTTTTAACTATCTTTTTAAAGTTATTAATAATTTGTATATGATATATCGCATAAAATCTGTCGTCTACGGTCTACTAATAATTTTCCATCACAAAGATGAGTAGAATCTTGTTTGAAAGAACAAAAAAAAGAGTTGAGATTTGGGAGTTAAAATCTCATCTTGGTGGATTTTGTTTCTTTGAACTTGATGTTTTTTGGCTTGTCATGCGACAACTTAGTTGTTACGGGTATTACGTGTCAAGAAATTACAATTATTGCTTTTGGTTATGAGTATTAGTCATCCACGAACTCCAACGCATTGGTTAGGTCGCAAGGTATCAACAAGAGATTAGTGCAAGATTAATGACATAAGCAAGTAGCCAACTAATAGGGAAATACTAATAGAAGAGTAGATTTTGATTAAACCTTTTTCTTACTTGAAGCAAAGACAAACATTACAAATATGAAATACCTAAAAAATGTCTGTACCAAAGAGCTCGCAATTGTCTTTTACAACATAGACGTAAACCAAACAAACATCTTCATGCTCGGAGCAATTGTTTTCTTCTCTACTTACTTTCATCTTACATGATTGTGTCTATAAGACACAGACCCTGAAACAGAGATTAATAGTAACTCCTTTCGCTACGAGCTATAAGAATCTGTTTCATTGCTCCACCAGAAGCTAACCGAGAAACTCATTGTTAAGGACCTGACATAGTGCCACCATTTGGGAGGGATGTACAGCATTTCACCTTCTTCTAGAATACAATCCATAAACTCCAACTCCGTTGCCTTTGGGAACTCGGTCTTGTCGATATTGTCTAGATCAACCTTCAACCAAAGTTTGAAACCAACCAGTTTTGGAAATAGAGTCAGCTTCCAGTTTTATGTTTAATCCAAAATCAGATTTGACTTTGGAATGAAAAATCTTACCTGGCTAGAGTTGCATAGCATTGTCTCAGAGTAAGGGTAAAGTTCGTCTTGTAGGGAGGATGGGTAAAGCCTTATATACTTCTTGCCAACAACCTGACGAACAGATGATATAAAAACTTCAGTAGGAGGATAAAGCATATCAATAAAGAAGTTTCCGTAAACTGGAAACATATGAGACACTCTAAAAAGGTCCAAATGAATTGCAGGCCAAACGATTTCTTTGGTTAGTCAAAGAGTCATCAGACTTCAATCCAGCGAGAGGATCAGGCTTTATTATGCAAGAACATCAAAGAAGAAAAAGGTTGTTAAACACTTACAGATCATATATATATATATATATCGGATAGCATAAAAGGCAGCGAGCAAAGACAAGAAGGCATGCTTAGCTCATGTAAGGAAAAGATCTTTCACCGTAGTTACCTGAGCAAGTATATTATGATGTGGATCATGGTGTAACGGAGTAACTGTCCCAGCCGGGCCAAACCACGCATTAAGTGATTGGAGTTCCCCACCACCGACAAAACAGTAATCAGGTATACATATATCATCTCTCAGTTCATTTATCTGCCCATTTGTGTTAAACCAATAACCATAGGTTCAGTATGAGACACACCGCGTACAGACAAACATATACATCAAACATCCCGGTACATATATTACCTGATCAAACAAAGGATGCTGCGCAAGATAGGTAGGCTCCATTGGAGACGATTTATTGGTCCGAATCCGTTCAAGGAACTTAGAAAATGTCACAAGCTCTTGCTTCCAATCAGAACACAAATAGTTTTTCCCCACCTGAATAGCATTTTAAACTTTACCAGCTTTCGGCTACGGAAAAATTATTCTGATCCAACCCATATTCTTATTAGGTCAGACTAGACAGTGATACGACTCATAACTCTATGAGCAAAAATGACAAAGCTTATACTCGTGAAATTTTTATGCTCTTATCCTTGATAAAATGCAACAATATCTATCTGATTTTTATGTGATAATCTAACCTAGATGCAAATCTTATTCTAACCTAGACCCTAAACCTTTTATCATACAGTTGACACGACTCTATGAGATTAAACATTCTTAAGAAGAACCATAAAAAATATGAACATACAACTTAGAGCAGCGTAGGAGCCAACTTAAGCTAAAACCATCCTCTAATGACTTCTAAACAACACTCACAAGCTAACTAAGTAAGTACTAAGTGACGAAATGATGGGCAGTCACCTCCACGGGAACGGTGCGGTTACCAGCAACAGCATTGAGGTAGTCCAAGTGGTTCCACTTGGCCCTGGCTGGCCAATGAGCCATAGAATTGGTTATAACAACTGGTGTACCCGACAGAAAATAATCACGCAGAAACCCCTCCAAAGATAAACCAGACCTCTTCTCTACTCTTCTACAAGTTAAGGACCTGCAAGGTAGAATCTTAAGCACCTGCAAGATTCAACAACAACAACACAAAACCAAAATCAACACGAAGCAATTCAAAAGTAATGATTTCTCTTCACAACAAATCTCCATTTTCATTTAGAGCTCATCGAGATTTCAAGATCTGAGTCTTACAAGTACTTGAAGATTAGCAAAAACATGTCTCACCTCATTGACGTCAACGGGAACTTCCGGGACCAATTTCTCACCCATGAACTCTCCAGAAGCTTCTTCAAGACTCTTTGTCTTCTTACGAGCTTCGGAGGAGACCACCAAAACAGAATCATGAAGATCCTTGCGGAGAAGCATACCTCCCATGATAAGACCCATATCAAGCGCCCCAAGCGCCTCAGCAAACTCGCCGGCGGCGAAATGAATTTTAGCGACGTTGAGACAAGCCATTGAGTAAGCGTCGCGCCAAACGGGGAGAACCGAGTGCCATGGACCAGAGTGAAGTTGCTCCCAAGCCATATCACGCGCCGCCTCCGCCGCACTTTGGTCACCGGCCACCGCTAACGCCGCCATGCGAGCATAGGCGTAACCGCCTTGAGCAGAGATCGATTGCAGCAGAGTTTGCGATTCGGCGTCAAGCGTCGGAGTCGGGAGACGGAGGTTGTTGTGGTCTCCGGAGGAAGCGGTAGCAGCTCCTGACATTGGAATGGATCGGGTCGGGTTTTCGGGTTAAGTGGTATGTGGTGGGAGATATTTTAGTGATGAGTTGGGGAAAGTGTAAGCGAAAAAGTGGAAAGGGCAAGAAAGATATTTTGGAGTGATGATTAGGATCAGATATTTTCGTATTTTTACGGTAGTCTTTCTAATTTTGAACCCTCCAAAATAGTACAATTTATGCAACCACTCCTATCTTTCTTTCTTTTTTGGTTTCTTAGGCATATTGTGCTACTACTATATACTTAGGGCAATTTCTTCAAATACCATTTTTGTAAATACATTGAGGCCCGACTCAATGATTTGGTTTGGAGGGCACTTACAAAATAAATGCTCAATTAACAAATGAAATCTCGCAGGAAAACAATCCTAATTGTTGTTAAATTTTGTGTCAAAATAATTTTTCTGATGGGCCTAGTAAAAGCACTCTTTACATATGATTTTTTTTTCCAATGGGCTTAGTGTAAACACACTCTTCTATGTTTTATGACATTGAAAATGATAAATTTAAATGCAGTGAAACATTCAAGTTCCAACTTCCAAGTATTTTGTTTTGATTATGCTATGCTTATGGTTATTGGGAACCAATTCATGAAATGTAAACTTGACACGAGAAATAATATAGAAATTATACTCAGTAAATTTTGTTTGTTTTTTGTATAAATGTAAAATTATATTCATAAAAAACGAGTGCAAGATTTAGAGTTGAAATTTTTGAAAGAAAGCTAACAATATAAGAAGAATAAGAGATTTAAGAGCTACGAGTTTGGAACCAGAATCGAAGTCCTCCTCGTAGTCTTTGTTTCCCGTTGCTAGAATGGTGCTAAACCGGTTTCGAACGTTTATAAGGTATACTAGTGTAATATGGATGCATGATCGAGTTACAAGGTTAGATATCATAAAATAGAATTTAAGGTTAAAATTTCTGTAAGAAGCAGGAATTTAACTACAAATACACAGTGACATTTGACTCAAAACGTTATTTTATTAGTTTTTTTTTGAATCCGACTACGAAAAATATAGAAAATTAAAGAAATATTATTAGAAAAGATATCGTCACACGTATAAAAAACTGCGGATTCCTCGCTTGTATTTTTCTTCATAAAGCTTTCAAACTCTTTTGTCATTTGTTTCAGAAGCGTCCGTTACATTTGTGCACTATCTTAAACACTTAATTTTCATTCAGTGTTCAAGTTTGTACGTTTTGGTCCGTTTTAATTCGTTCAGTCAACGATTTTAAAAAATAATAATATTTTGTTATAATTGGACTCATATGTAGTATAATACATCAATGTAAAAACCTTAATGATATTATCAGAGAACTATTGTTGCTTATGTGCCATTGTTTTGATAAAATGATTTCGTTCACATTCATGTCATCTCACATATATAACTCAATTCCTATACACAAACCAATTATAACTATTTTTCTTTTGTTACCGTCGTCTGCATTACTATATACTATAATTAATGAATAGTAAATAAAATGGTTTAAACTGTAAATAGTTTAGCATGTTTCATCCATCACAAATTTTAAATCTTAATGAAGAAATCTAACCGAAAAAAGGAATTACATATTTATCGACTATATACTTAGGTCTAGCCCTCTGATTATTCTTCAACACAACAATAAAATTGATTTAAAATCAAGAGTTAAGACCAAAGATGATTTAATCAAAAATATTTTGAAACTTATGTAAGAAAAAAAGGAAGAAAAAAAAGAAATAAATAAGGAAGAAAGGGCGTAATTGGCCCTCTATAAAAATAGATACAGAAGAGAAGAGAAGAGAGAAAACCGAATCCTTGAAAACTCCAATAAACTAACAAACGAGAAAACCAAACTCTGGAGAATGGCGAATCTACCTTCATCTCTCTCCATGGGCACACCTTTCGGTGGACCTAGCACCTCCGCACAAAATCCTACCGGAGCTCCGGCCAACAAAGATCGCAATTTGGCCTCTGCTGAGCAGTTGGTACTCGATCTCAGCAATCCTGAACTCAGAGAGAATGCTCTTCTCGAGCTTTCCAAGGTTTTCCTTATAATCTGACATGTTTTCTTCTTCGTTTCTTCCATCTGGGCTGTCGTTTTTTTGTCTGATTCGTCAACGAGCGTTAGGGTTACTTGTGAAAATTGCTAAAGTTGGGAACTTTTCGAAAATTGTGTGTTTTTCTTCTCAGTCTGTGAATTTGGGAACTTGTTTATGAATGAAAACTGAAAAGGACGAATCTTTTCACTTTTGCTTTAGATGATTTCAGTATCTGAATTAGTAGTGGTTCCACACTTGTTTCTTTTGTAGAAAAGAGAATTGTTTCAGGATCTGGCGCCTCTGTTGTGGAACTCTTTTGGTACAATTGCTGCTTTGTTGCAGGTAATGACTTAAATGCATCTGTTTCGGTTATTTCCAGTTACTTAAATGCTTTATCTTTCTTGTAAATTGATGAGTCTGTTGATTGCAAAGGATTCTTTTATACCCGAATGCTATTTATTCGGTGTTAGTAGCATGGTGTGATTTGACTGGTTTCGTCTATTTGCTTGCAGGAGATAGTATCAATCTACTCTGTTCTTGCACCTCCAAATCTGACTCCTGCTCAGTCCAACCGTGTTTGCAACTCGCTCGCCCTTCTTCAGGTTCACATGGGGATTTCATCTTCTTATTTAGGATGTTTGATTTCATGTTCATATACTTGGCGAGTCCATCAGATTCCTAATGCTTTTCTGTCTTGCTGTTTTATTCTGCAGTGCGTAGCATCTCATTCTGACACGAGAATGTTATTTCTCAAGGGTAATGTTCTTGTTCTTTTCATCAGGCTAAGTTTAATTGGGTTATACATTTAATGTTATATAGTATGTACCATTGGGGATGTCTATTATATGCTCTTGTCTGTTTAATACTAGTTAGTGGGGTTATCTGTTTATTGTATATTTATTGCGTGGTTTCAGTTTATTTCATGAAGTAATACAACTGATGAATTCGTTGTTATGCGTTTTCTTCGTCCTTGTGCACAGCTCATATCCCATTGTACCTTTATCCCTTCCTTAATACAACGAGTAAGTCAAGACCTTTCGAATACTTGCGGCTTACTAGCTTAGGTGTCATTGGTGCACTTGTGAAGGTAAACCATCCCGTCCCTTTTCTGTGGCTTGTTTCCCTTCGGTTTTGAGGTTCCTCACCAAATTTTTGCTGAAAGCGAAGGACTAAAAATTGTGTTAGTGGTCTTGGTATCTATAAAATATGTTAGAGAATTTATATTCCTTTTTGGTAGTTAATGTTTGAAATAAGAAAGGTTCGGATCCTTATTTCACTTCTTTTTTTCCAGGTTGATGATACAGAGGTCATTAGCTTCCTACTTTCAACTGAAATTATTCCGCTGTGCCTCCGTACCATGGAAATGGGGAGTGAGCTGTCAAAAACAGTAAGCCTTTCAATTTACCGTTACATTTTCATGTTCATATGGTACCTTCTTTACGTTTCCTGACAGTCTTAAAACTCGTTTTAGATGTATATTTGTTATTTCTGGACCTTTTTTGGCATTTCGAATCGTTAATAATGATAACCAAATCCTAACTTATAAAATCATATCAAGAATTGAGTCTCAGTTTTTTTTTGTCACTGTTTTTCTCAAATATATGAATGTGTTACCTAAAATGATAATCCAAATCCTAACTTTTAAAGTCCTATAAGAAAATGAGTCTCTTTTCTTCATGTAACTGTTTCTCTTAACTATAAGGATGTTTAAGCCCAAAAATTTGTTCGAACTGTCATTCTGAGTTTTTTATATTTCCTAGGCTGGGATTGTAAAGTTTCCATAGAACCAGTTCTGCGCCAATGAAATGGTGTCTACATTGTAAGTGTGCAAAGCCTTTCTTACGTATTAACATGATGTGTTAATGACAGGTGGCAACATTTATTGTTCAAAAGATATTGTTGGATGATGTGGGGATGGATTACATCTGCACAACAGCAGAGCGGTTTTTTGCAGTTGGTCGAGTGTTGGGCAACATGGTTCAGTCACTTGTGGAGCAGCCTTCTCCGCGGCTTTTGAAGCATATCATTCGTTGCTATCTCCGTCTATCAGACAACCCAAGGTTGGTTTAGGCCAAAGCAAACTTACTCAGAAATGATTTTTCGTATTTTATCGTGTGCTTGGCTTTCTTATGCTTAAGCTTTTGTGTTAATTAGGGCTTGTGCTGCACTCGCAAGCTGTCTCCCTGACTCGCTAAGAGATGGAACCTTTAGCAATTGTCTTCGCGTAAGTCGTCGTCATCTTTTGACTTGGGTTTTGATCTTGTTTGTGTAAGAGATGATTCAGTTGAAAACTTGTTGTATACTTCTTTTCAGGAGGATCCAACTGCAAGGAGGTGGCTGCAACAGTTGGTTCACAATGTTGGAGTTGGTCGAGTCCCAACACATCAAGGTGGAGGATTTGAGCACATGCTTTGAGCGGAATCCATCTCAGCCCATCCATGGAGTATTTCTTCTGGTTTTGTTTCTAAATTATTTTTGTGCTTTTGATGCCTTAACTTAGATGATGGGTTATAGGCTTTTTAGTCTGTTTGAAATTCTTATTGTAATTATTTATAAGCTTTAGATCAAAACCCCAAGAATGCATAAGTCTCGGGATAATAAAAGATTGGTTACAAAAGAAATATTATAGAGTTTGTATTTTCAGTTTGAAACGTAACAATTTTATTCCATCAAAGCTTTAGCGGTATCTTGGTGTCTAAACCATACTTAATAAAGGTTCAAAGCTAGAATTTGGTGACAGGGACTACGGCTCCATTTTTCGCACCAGACTCGAGCATTGCTTCAAGAACCGCAACGTCACGAGCACCTTCCACGTATGATAGTCGAGGCTCTTGCTCCTGCAACAAATCCATATATACGAGAGTTTAGGTAATAGAATGCCTATGTTATGAGTTCCTGCATTCCAATAGAATCCATGTTATATGAGTTTCTGCTTTCCAAGGCTAAGATTCTAGGATAACCTTTGAAGTCTCTGAGATATCATTGAAGAATGCTTTTAGCTCTTCAGTCACTCCGCTGAACGGGTAAAAGATGGTCCTTGATGTACCTCCTTCCCCGTAAATCGTGGCCTGAAAAGTTCAAAAGATCACAGCCATTTGAGTTGAGTTCAAGCAAAAACTGGATAATTCAGTTGGTCACATGTTCTAGTATACAAACCATGTAGCCATGTCGGCCACCTTCGACTCCACGCTCAAGTTGAACAGTGCCTTTTAGTCCTACGACTCTCCATAATATCTAAATAATAGAATTCCGTGAGATAAAGAATGGTTATTAGGCCAAATCGTGGTAGAAAGCAGAACACCCAAGTCTTACTACATGCCTTTGGAGATCTTGAAGACACAACCATAACAAAAACACCAGAGCATCCGTTCTCCAGCTGACTATGGAGCAAACAAATGTCCTGGATTAGCGTATTCATGTGAAATTATTGTGCTAAGAAAAAGGGACTGATGTATTTACACTCACAAGTTTGATGTTATATTGTCTGGTCCAGGTAAAGTCTTATCCACATGGGAAGTGGTGGCAGAGACTGATGCTACCTCACATCCAACAAGCTGTTCATGACAAACCAATACGTCATATTTGGGGTTCATCAGCAGAGTATCGAAGAAGCTTATTAGTAACGAAGTTATATGGTACCATTCTTAACCCTGCAATGTAATGCACACCCATATCCAAGATGAAACCACCCTGCAAATGAAAATCCAATGGGAAATATTAACAGATCACAAAGTTTCTTTCAGATATATTGGTGATTGAAGATCTGTCAGTGTCAAGCAAAATGATTGCAGGAGGATGATTGCATTTGGAGGCATATGGTCTTTAAGTTATAGTCTAAGCAAGCAGCGAGTTAGGAAGATGCAACAAAGTTTGACAAAAAAGAATGTGACGAAACAGAATGCATTACATACGCTCAAATTTCGCCTCCACGAGCTTGAGAAATAAGGATTCGAACTGTTCATTGATCCCTCAATAATAAGCTGGACGTTCATCATATCCCCAGTTTCTGCTATCAGTTTCTTCAACTGCCAAAAGCAATCATGAGATATTTCAAGCACAATGTTACTTGCTCAACCGGAGGTGCCAAGAAGACACTAAGTAACATTTACCTCAACAAAAGCTGGCTCAAAACGATAATTTTCAGCCACTGCCCAGATTGGACGGCATGGGGAATCAGCAGAAATATTTCTATAGCTAGATATTGCAGTTTCTATCTCACTGATTGCTGCAACAAAAAAAAACATTCTAAAGCAAAAGGAAGAGAGAATGACCAGGAAGTCTTTAAGTTTTACTTAGAATAGGTCATGCTCAACAAGAGAAAATGAAACTGGGCCAAAGTAATCCTACACGTTTCTCATTTAATAAGCATGGATGAAACTTAAACAACATACAAAGCTGGTTCAAACAGAGGAGTGATCAAGATCTACTTACAGGCAGCAGCTGGCTTCTCTGCAAACCCATCAAGGCAGCAACATACATATCAAGAAAGAAGACAAATATTTCAGTGTAAGTTGGGACACATTTTGAAGTAGTAATAACATTGTTAGTGAAGAAAGAAGACGGTCGTAAAAGCAAGGATTCCTTTTAACAATAGTAGCAGAAGGCTAAAGATCCATGTTTGAACGAACAGTCAAAAGCAGCTAAAAAAGCAGTACCTTGAAGGACGTGTTTTCCTGCCTTGAGCATCTTCAGTGACATTTCAACCTAAAGCATAAGACTTTGAGTAAGACAAATCCTATGCACTGCCCCAACTAGACAAATCCTATGGATTAAAAGATACCATGGTTTCTGCAGCTACAACAACAGCAACACCAACTATTGAACTATCTTGAATGATCTCATTGAGACCATCATCTCCCCATTTGCACTTCACTTCTGGAAAATGCTTTCTTGCTATCTCCACAGCTCCTTTTGCAGATTCCTTCAACCATAACAAAAAAAAAAACCAAAATTCGCCACCAAAGTTATCATCTTATTGAGGCATTTGTGGCATTAACATCTCCCAAAATCAAGCGCATTGATCGAAATGTTACCTCAGTACGGCTCCAAATAGCTTTCAGGACGACAAGATCGGAGATCTCAGCCAATCTCGGAATGTATTGCGTTTTGACGAAGATCCCAGCTCCGAGAATGGCAATTCCTGGTGAAGAAGGATTCGACATTTTTGCTTCTTGGATCCAAATAGATTCCTAGTTAAAACTGTTGCTGTTTATAGTCACACAACTCATGAAACGCTTAATACAATCGCGATTCTTACTCAACCGCAGACGTAAGCCTTATTTAATCGCAAACGCTATAACCTGGTGAAATGACCGATATGCCCCCAGCAACCAATCTCTTTGATCGAGTTCTCTTAACTTCCCTCCATAAAACCCTAGATCCTGCTTTGAATTTTATTGGAACTTGAGATTTGGTTAATCTTACTCAATTTCGTTGTTGTTGTTTCAATGGCGGGTGATGATTTAGCTGAAACGAAGAAGGGAAGCTCGAAGAACCCTAAGAACAGCAATGACAGCAAGCTCAAGCAAAGTAATGCTCTATGTATCATCTGCTGCACGTTTCGAGTTTAATTGCTTATTCCCGGTGAAATTGAGCTGAATTTGATTATTATTTTGAATTCGTGAATTTGCAGAATCTCCAGCTGAGTTTTTCGCGGAGAACAAGAACATTGCTGGATTTGATAATGTGAGTCCCAATTCGCTGATTTCAATTTAGACGATGCATCTTTTAATGTTTTTGTTTCATCTCTGTAATTCAATTCGCCGTTTCGGTATCACACGGAAGTTTGAATTGTTTGATGATTGTGGATTTCAGCCAGGGAAGTCGCTTTATACTACAGTTAGAGAGCTTGTTGAAAATGCTCTTGATTCTGCTGAGTCCATTTCAGAGCTCCCTGAGGTTGAAGTAACTATGTACGTTCCTTACTTCGTGCTGGTTCGCTATGTTCGTTCTGGTAGGAGAAAGTATGTAGGGGTTTAGATTCACTGAATGTTTTGTTTATATTTTTGAAGCGAAGAGATTGTAAAATCTAAGTTCAACTCCATGATTGGTCTTATTGATCGGGAACGTGTTGACACGCAGCTGTATGATGACTATGAGACAGAAAAGGCCCGTGAGGTGCGTGAATTCTGTGTTTATTTCTCTTCTCTTCTTTCTGGTTAAATCCTTGTGCTTTTAAGCAGCTATTTTCTAGTGTTCAAGAAGTTTCACTGTTCTGTAACATTTTAAGCTGTCAGTACCCATCTATTCATGGATTTGTTAAAGATTCTAATTCTTGTTTTTGTTTCCTGTTATGTAGAAAAGGTTAGCAAAGGAAGCTCGTGCCAGTGAGATACAAGCTAAAAATTTGGCATCGGGAAAGAAAAACAAAGAGCCTGGAGTCTCAAAGGTTTTAAAGGCCCGTGGGGAAGCCTCGTATTACAAGGTGACATGTAAGGTGAGGGGTTGAATAATATTTGTTTGATTCACCAAAAAATTTTTCTGTGTAATTTTAAGTATATGTATAAATTCCTGCCGATCCTTAATTGTTTTCTTAAGCATTTTTTTGAGTTATGAATTGAGTTGATCATAATGTAGGATAATGGTAAGGGGATGCCTCATGATGACATTCCAAATATGTTTGGGAGAGGTAAAATAGCTAATGGCCACCCTCACTTCCTCTATTGATTTTGCCTGGCGGATCAACCTAATAATAAGCTTTTATATGGAGGCTAAGTTTACAAATTGTTCTTCTTACAGTTTTATCCGGGACGAAGTATGGACTGAAGCAAACACGTGGAAAGTTTGGTCTGGGTGCAAAGATGGTAATCTATTCTTATCAAGTTTGATGTCTGAGATTAGCCTGTAAAACTGCATGAAATGCTGAAGTGGTTTATCAATTTCAAATTTGCAGCCTTTAGATGGCTCGTTCCTAGGTTTACAAAAGGAATATATGTTGTATATAGAAACTTTTTGAAAAACGCTTTAGAAGGATTTGATCATTGGCTTTGATTTGCAGCTGGTCTTTTGTTTTTCTATTCACAACATATGTATTTTTCCTTTCATATCTCTATTTTTTTTAAAGAGAACTTGTTTAACTCTTCTAGTTTCTCTAAATTTTCCTGGCGTGCAGGCCTTAATTTGGTCCAAAATGAGTACAGGTCTCCCCATAGAGATCTCTTCATCTATGAAGAGCCAAAACTATGTTACTTTCTGCAGACTGGATATTGATATTCACAGGTATCCATCTGAATATACCTGAACAGCTTCTTGAAAGCGGATATCAATCTCACTTTTTATTTTACGGCATTTGACAATAATAGCCATAAATCCTTCAGATTATCCACGCCGTCTCATGATATTGCCATGGATGCTTTGACTGTTTCAAGTCTCTTGAAAAACTACTCATTTAGCTCAGCGTCAAAGAATAATTGTCTTCAAATGGTTAAAATTTTCAGGAACATTCCTCATATTCATCTGCACGAAAAGAAGGGCAACAAAGAGAAATGGCATGGGGCTGAAATACAGGTGGTTATCGAAGGAAACTGGACAACCTACAGAGTACGCGGTCTCGATCGTCCTTCTGCTGTATATTATTTCTTAAGCGTTCATTAGACATATATGCACGCACACTTGTTTAACACATTTTATCTTTTTGTTTTATCCAGTCAAAGATCTTGCACTATATGCGCCAAATGGCTGTCATTACTCCTTATGCGCAGTTTCTGTTTAGATTTATATCAGAGACACCAGAGTTTGATCTCTATCTTTCTGTTTTTTTGCTGCTCTGTCACATCGCTCTTTTTGTGCAGCATTATCGAGTTATTCAATCTTCTTTTCATGTAGGAAAAATGTCACTATTAAGTTTACTCGAAGAACTGATGTGATGCCTCCTATTCCTATCGAGACAAAGCATCATCCATCGTCAGTTGACTTGCTGCTTATCAAGCGCCTTATTACAGACACTTCCAAAAAGACCCTTCTGCAGTTTCTTCAAAATGAATTTGTGAATATTAACAAAACCCTTGCAACGCGATTAATTGGTAAGTATGAAATCAATCTCATTTGGTTACAGAAGTTTGAAGTTGTTTAATATTCCCCCTTACAACACATTTGGCAGTACTTTTACTTGACCAATGGAAATGACCTGATATCCAATTAAAAAATTCTGTATCACGTCCTGATGGATTAGACGGATTGTTATATAATGTTTGCTGAAAAAAATGGCAATTTTCTGCTTCTTTTTGCTGGTTGTTATTTTAAGAAAATCATCCATGCCCTTTATATTTACTAAGCCTGTGCTATCTCTTTAGTCAAATTCAGTCATAAGTATTCTTGTTTTCTTTCTTTCAGGGGAAATGGGACCTGATTTCGGCCCTAGCATGGCTGTCAAATCTGTGACATCTCAGCAAATGGTACGCATACATCAGTTATTCCGCCAAGCTAAATTCGACGACCCTAGTGGTGATGTAAGCAGCTACTTTCTCTCTACGGTTCACTGGGAACTGCTTTATTATCTCTATATATCTCTCGAGGGTCTTATAAAATTTTTAGTTGTTAGGGCATCTGTATTGTTTTGAAAATTAGCTCTACTCATACTGCGGTTTCTTCTTTAGTGTCTTAGCCCAGCAGGAGAATACAATCTTCGTCTAGGGATTATTAAGGAGCTGCATCCAGATATGGTGGCAACGTATTCCGGCAGGTTGTCACTGCAACTCTCTTTTCTGCGAATGCATCTAATTTAGATATGTAGTTTATTTTTCTTATAGTAATCTCATCTGTCAAGCGCGCTTTACCTAATTTGTCATTAATCTGAGTTTTCTTTCATTAAGTGTTGACTTCTTCCTGGAAACTCTGTTTAGTGCTCAGGTCTTCGAAGGTCATCCTTTCATTGTTGAAGCTGGTGTTAGTTTGGGTGGAAGAGATGTGAAACAGGCAAGTCATATCCTCCTTTTGTTTATTCACGTGTCATCAAGTTCCCATAGATTTAAGGTTGCTCTAAGTGTGAGCTAAAATCTGAGCATGAATCCATAACCATTGCTCTTTATCTTTTATGTCGATCTCACTCTTCTACTATCTAATGGATTATTTTGGGAATTTGCTGGAACTGAAATGGCAGGGGATCAACATATTCCGTTTTGCAAACCGTATTCCTCTCCTTTTTGAACAAGGAGCTGATGTTGTCACCAGGACGGCCTTAAAAAGAATCAAGTGAGACTCTTTCTTTAGCTTGCTACATTCCTCTCTGTATATCGTTATTGTTGGTATCTTTCTCCAATTTTTTTTATTAGTGGTATGGAATAACTTTGCAGTTGGAATAGTTATAAGATCAACCAGACGCAAGATAAAATAGGAGTATTTGTGAGCATAGTGAGTACAAAAATTCCATTCAAAGGGACAGGGAAAGAGTACATAGGAGATGACATCAGTGAGATTGCTACCGCAGTCAAGGTAACATAAAGAAAAGACTTTTCGACGTTATCCGACATCTTATTAAATCTAACTTTCCGCCTTTATTTCCATCTAGTCTGCAATTCAACAATGCTGCATCCAACTGAAATCCAAAATAGTCAAGAGACTGCAAGCCCGTGAACAACAAGAGCGAAAACGCAGTTTGAGCAGGTAAAAAAAAAACAAGATAATCAGTATCCTTTCCCATTTTATGCTCCAACCCTGAAAAAAGATAACCAAAACTGGAAATGCTTGCAGATACATCCCCGATGCAACGGGGGCAGTGTACGAGGTTCTGAAACAAATGACAGAAGAACATACAACAAAGAGAAAACGTTACGGAGAGGAAGACACAGTTATACTTAATAAAGTATCTAAACATATAATCACAAAAGAAACATTGAAAGAAAAGCTTGCTGAGCATGTAGAACAGGTTTTGTTTTTGCATCAATCACTTCTCATCATAAGTTTCTACTGCATCATCACTATTGTTATTCTTGCTGAATATTTGTGGTGGTTTCAGGTGGACTACGAGATGGCATTAGAGTATGCAACACAAAGTGGAGTAAGTGAAGAACCCAGAGAAAATATATATCTCCAACACTTGGATCCCAACAAATCCAACTTCATAGATCTTCATAGTCCAACTTTTGTCTTCAGGCTCATGTTGTAATCCAAACATATTTGTCTCTCCATTAGTCAAATTTTTTTGGATATTTTAAGACATACACTAGAAAAGAGGAAAAAAGAAGACATAAAATTTAACACTTCCTTTGGTTAGTTTCAACAAATGTGTCGGAGAACGTGATAATAATTAATAAAAAAAAAAGAAAATGAAGAAGCAGGAAAACTTATTAATATAGTTTTTTCACCTCTTGAGAGCAGATTTGTCGTAATCGATAATAGTTGTCGATGATGACGGAAACTTTTCTACTTGTAATAAAATATAGTAGTATGATGTAAAAAAGTGTGCGTTTTTTTTCTACCGATTTTAATGAGGTATGGATAATGGATCTTTTTTTTTTAAAAACCATTATTCCAAAAATGAAAAAAAAAAACGTAGCAATAAATAATATTCCGCGTAAGAAACAATTAATTACACACCGCGTGAAATAAAATAAAAAAACCAAACGAGGAGTAGTGAGTAGTGCCAAAAGGCGCTTTGTTAATTATTTATTAATTGTGTAATAAGAATAATAAATGATGTCTTAAATATTGTGTAAAAATGAAATTAGAATACTATATATAAATAGAGTATAGTATGATCTCTCTTCATGATCTACAGAGACTCCACAAAGAAACGCAAATAAACAAAAGTCGCTTTCTATCCACGTGATCTTTCGTCGACTTTTCTTCTTCTTCTTCTTCTTCCTCTTCCTCATCTCGTATCTCTCTAACTTTTGGAGAAGTTTTTATTGATGAAATTAGGGTTTATTATCTTCTCCTTCTTTTTCCCATCACCGTAGAAAAGGCAGAGACCTTTTTCTTCATCATTTTTATTCTTCTTCTGCTCTTCATTTCTCCAGGTATTCAACGCTTCTTTTAATTCGTTCTGTTGATTTTTAGGGTTATTATTGTTACTGAAGATGATAGGTTTAATTCATGGGGTTTTAGTAGATCGATGGTTTTACTTAAGATTACTAGTGTTTACACGATCTAATTTGATGACTTTATGCTACTTTTATTTTCCATGATTTTTTTTGTTGAATTTTTGATTGGTATATATCGTTGATCTATTTGAAAATATTTTCTCTTTCTTATTCATATATGATCCTTTCTATATTTGGGGCTTCCTCGATTTTTTCCAATCTTCCTTGGATTTTTTATTTACCTGTGTTGAAGATCTCATCCTTTTTTTGGAAATTGAATCTGTAGATAAGTTTTTTTTATCCAATTGATGATTTAGTTTTGGACTGATAAAATACGATCTGATGATGTTTTTATTACTTAAACGTTGATTGAATTCGAAAAGCCCCTTTTTTTAAAAAAAATCTAGGTTTAGGGGGTTTGATGATTTTTAGTAAGTTGTTTGATTCAGAAGAAACATACTCTAATGATTGCTTTTGCTTGTGTATTGATATGTTACAGGTTAATTTGGGTCTTCGTCTTACTGTGAAGAGTCACGATGATGTTTAACGAGATGGGAATGTGTGGAAACATGGATTTCTTCTCTTCTGGATCTCTTGGTGAAGTTGATTTCTGTCCTGCTCCACAAGCTGAGCCTGATTCCATTGTTGAAGACGACTATACTGATGATGAGATCGATGTCGATGAATTGGAGAGGAGGATGTGGAGGGACAAAATGCGGCTTAAACGTCTCAAGGAGCAGGATAAGAGCAAAGAAGGTGTTGATGCTGCTAAACAGAGACAGTCTCAAGAGCAAGCCAGGAGGAAGAAAATGTCTAGAGCTCAAGATGGGATCTTGAAGTATATGTTGAAGATGATGGAAGTGTGTAAAGCTCAAGGCTTTGTTTACGGTATTATTCCGGAGAATGGGAAACCTGTGACTGGTGCATCTGATAATCTCCGGGAGTGGTGGAAAGATAAGGTTAGGTTTGATCGTAATGGTCCTGCGGCTATTACGAAATACCAAGCGGAGAACAATATCCCGGGGATTCATGAAGGTAACAATCCGATTGGACCGACTCCGCACACTCTGCAAGAGCTTCAAGACACGACTCTTGGATCGCTTTTGTCGGCGTTGATGCAACACTGTGATCCTCCTCAGAGACGGTTTCCTTTGGAGAAAGGAGTTCCTCCTCCGTGGTGGCCTAGCGGGAACGAGGATTGGTGGCCTCAACTCGGTTTGCCTAAAGATCAAGGTCCTGCACCTTACAAGAAGCCTCATGATTTGAAGAAGGCGTGGAAAGTTGGCGTTTTGACTGCAGTTATCAAGCATATGTTTCCTGATATTGCTAAGATCCGCAAGCTCGTGAGGCAATCTAAATGCTTGCAGGATAAGATGACTGCTAAAGAGAGTGCTACTTGGCTTGCCATTATAAACCAAGAAGAGTCCTTGGCTAGAGAGCTTTATCCCGAGTCTTGTCCACCTCTTTCTTTGTCTGGTGGAAGTTGCTCACTTCTGATGAATGATTGCAGTCAATACGATGTTGAAGGTTTCGAGAAGGAGTCTCACTATGAAGTGGAAGAGCTCAAGCCAGAAAAAGTAATGAATTCTTCAAACTTTGTGATGGCTGCTAAAATGCATGACTTTCCTGTCAAAGAAGAAGTCCCAACAGGAAACTTGGAATTCATGAGAAAGAGGAAGACAAACAGAGATCTGAACACTATCATGGACAGAACGGTTTTCACCTGCGAGAATCTTGGGTGTGCGCACAGCGAAATCAGCCGGGGATTTCTGGATAGGAATTCGAGAGACAACCATCAATTGGCATGTCCACATCGAGACAGTTGCTTACCGTATGGAGCAGCAGCCTCCAGGTTCCATGTCAATGAAGTTAAGCCGAGGCCAGTGAACTCTGTGGCCCAACCAATCGACTTAACGGGTATTGTTCCTGAAGATGGGCAGAAAATGATCTCCGAGCTCATGTCCATGTACGACAGAAATGTCCAGAGCAACCAAACCTCTATGGTCATGGAAAATCAAAGCGTGTCACTGCTTCAGCCAACAGTCCAGAATCATCAAGAACATCTCCAGTTCCCAGGAAACATGGTGGAAGGAAGTTTCTTTGAAGACTTGAACATCCCAAACAGAGCAAACAACATCAACAGCAGCAATCAAACGTATTTCCAAGGGAACAACAACAACAACAATGGGTTTAAGTTCGACACTGCACATCACAACAACTTTGAAGCTGCACATAACAACACCAATAACAGTAGCAGCAACAGGTTCCAGCTTGTGTTTGATTCTACACCGTTCGACATGGCCTCATTCGATTACAGAGATGATATGTCGATGCCAGGAGTAGTAGGAACGATGGATGGTATGCAGCAGAAGCAGCAAGATGTATCCATATGGTTCTAAAGTCTTGGTAGTAGATTTCATCTTCTCTTATTTTTATCTTTTGTGTTCTTGCATTCACTCAACCATGTAATATTCTTTTCTGGGTATCTCTCTGTCTCTATCGCTTGTTATGATGTGTTTGTAAGAGTCTCTAAAAACTCTCTGTTACTGTGTGTCTTGTCTCTCTGCTGGTGATTCTCTCTGTCATCATCAGCTTTTAGTTACACACCCGACTTGGGGATGAACGAACACTAAATGTAAGTTGTCATATTATAAATATATATTTGCAATTTCGCTTCTTGTTGTTTGTGTTTTATTGAATTGACTATAAAATTGAGAAGTCTGGTGTAATTCACGCTAACTATGTCAAAGTTTGGCTTGGTGGGACAATTATTTATTACAAGAAGAGGATAATAATAATTGTATTTGATGTTTACCGTGCTTGTCGCTAGTGGCTCGTGGGTAGCATTTAAGCATGGGTCAGTGCTTGTGTCTACGAGCTCGAGTGATCGAGCACACATTCCAAACTTAACACCAAAAAAAAAAAAGAGAAAAAAAAACAAGATCTAAGATGTGAGGTATTCTTAAATACCTTTTTTTTTCCTTATTTGAACACTAATACACTGATATAGTCTTTAATTGATTTATTCACTATTTATCTATTTCATATTTTCTTTTTGTAACCATAAAATGGTTCTAGAGTAGATTTCAAGTTTTTAATTAATCATTAAACTAAATTTGTTTTTATAAATTACTTGCCGTTGTATATGATTTATATATATTCAGTCATTGAGATTTTGATAGCACAAATACTTGACAAGCTTCAAACCATTAACAACTCTCCCTTCCTTCTCCTTAAGAGTCATATACCGCATAAACCCAAGAGAAGCTAGAGTTATATACATAGATCACATTATCTATCACACACACACACACACACCTAACATCTTTATTGCAATAGTGCTCACATGTACCATATCTTGGATCATAAACTATCACTTGTCCTCAACTCCTCGCATAAATCTTTCTCTCTAGTCCCCATGGGCTTACCACGGACATAAATATAGGCGACTTTAATATGGACTTTGGATTGGGATTTTGGCGACACTTCCCAAGTTTGTGTCCTTTGTGTCAAACGCTTCCGGCTTGATCTCTAAGAATGCACCCCCTAAACCGATTCCACATGTTCCTTGAAACATAATTGTAATGACCAGCAAGGCACCAAAGCTGAGCATGGCTCTAGCTGAGTTAACCGAGTCCTAATCTTTAGGAAAAAGTCAACAAAAAAATATTTGTACGCATTAAAAAAATAATATTTGTATTGGGGCAGAGACTTGGAGGTCGGAGCTCCGACTATAAATACCACCAATTTCCTTTTTCTTTATTTCGAACAAATCATTATATTCTCGGCGGGAAATTTATCGACGTCTCTTCGTCTTCTCGCCGCCGTTAGGGTTTCTTCGTTTATAATCTCTTCGTTACCACTTTCCGTTTCTCAGATTTTTTTTTCCCTGGGATCATCATCATGAAAAACTCGGTGAAACGAGAAGCGGAATCAACCAGAGATCGCAGCAGGAGAAGAGAAGCCGATGAGTCGTCGGAGAGACCGAAGATCGTGAAGAAGGAGAAACAGAGTAAGACCGTAATTGCTTCATTACGGCCTCAAGAACCGCCGATTCAGGAAGAGGACGAACAAGAAATTGCTGATCGGAGAGCTATAAGATCTCAGTACCTCGCTCTTACCCACAAAATTAAAGGTATTGTTCGCTTCTTACGTCTTTCTTCTTCTACTTTAGGGTTTGTGTTTTTTTTTACTTAACTTTGTTTGGTACAGATGCTCAAGATGATTTGACAAAAATTGATTCTGACAAGTTTAAGAGTATCATTAATGAGGTTGAGAATTTGCATCAGAAAGGTAAATAAAACTTGTCTCAATTCGTTTATATGTCTAAGTCTTAAAATAGTAGATGTTTCTTTATTTGAACGAACCAAAAGTTTGTAATTTCATGTTGTGTGCTGTTACAATTTTTATTGCAGTTCAGAAGCCTAGAGAGCAAATTGTTGATGCGGAAGCACTTTTGGACTTAACGAATAGTGTGGTTTCATCGGTGAAATCGCAATCTGCTCATGGTGGTGTTTCTCCAGCTGAGTTTGTTAATGCCTTGATTAATGGGTTTGGGAAAACTTCTTTAAGAATTGATGCTGATGAAAATACACAAGTGTCAATGAAGTGGAAGGATCTTGGGTTTACGGTCTGCTCTACGGTTATGGTATCATGTGGTTGTACAACAATGTGAGTTTTCTCTCATTTACAAGTGCTCAATGTTAGGATATGAACCTTATTTGAAAGTATCGATTTTTGTAATTATATTTCTGTTTTTGTAGGATGGGTCCTATGGATAGTGAATTGAAACAAAGGAAAAGGTCAGTGGGCAACAGAAAACGTACAAAGCCTGGTGCTGGTGTTAAGCCAGAGGAGGTGAGAAAATGTTTTGACAAGTTTCAGTAATCTTTAGTTTCTCAGCAAATTTGTGACTGATTCTAGTATCAGTAGGTGTTGCATCTTGAACTTCGTCAATTGTTATTATATGATTGAATGAAACTGATTTGGATACATTTTGACATCCTTCAGGTTGATGATACAGAAGCTGAAAAGAAAACTGATACAGACAATAACATGGCAGTAATGTTTAACATTTTGAGGAAAAACAAACGTGTCAAGATTGAAAATTTGGTGCTCAATAGGAAATCTTTTGCTCAGACAGTAGAGAATGTGTTCGCACTATCATTCTTGGTGAAAGATGGACGAGTTGAGATAACTGTTGATAACAATGGTTCTCATTTCGTTGGTAAGATTCACCCTCTAACCCCCAAAAAACAGGTTTCTAGCTACACTTATCTCGCTTTCCTCGTTTATCTTCAGAGCCAAGGAATGCTCCTGCAGCAAACCTGGTGCTATCAGGGGAGGTCGCTTACAACCATTTCGTACTTAGATTTGATTACAAAGATTGGGAGGTAAAAATTAGTGTTTCATTTTGTTTTAGTAAGTGTCTAAATAGTATATAGCCAATGATTTTGGGGTTTTGGTGATTATTGCATAGCCAATGAGCACAATGGTGGCAGTGGGAGAGGAGCTGATGCCACACAGGGAAACCAAAGTCGCACAAGATTCAAGAGAACTGTCGAGGAAACAAGGTTCGGTGATTCAAGAGGAAATGGTTGTCGAAGATTCTTCTAACATCGAAGGCGATAATGAAGATAGTCAAAATGGTGGATTATCCCGGAAATACAAGATCAGGAAGACTGATCACTTGTGAAGATGGTTCGTGAATTGAAAAGTCTTTTTTTCCTTCCTTTTTCAAACTAATCCTTTTGGGGTACATAGCAACTTCTTGTTTTATAACCTATGGTTTTGATTTGGTAGGAGGCATGTTTTATTAGGTAGACAGATACTTAATGGATTGATTCTGGTTAGGATTGTTATTTTGGTTGATGGTAGGTTTTGGAAGTTACAGAGATGCCTATTGAGAGCATAATTTGAGCTATCTTCCTCCTTAACGTTTGGCTTTATTATTGTTCTTTTATTTTTTAGTAAATTTCACTTTTGATCTCCTGGATCAGTGAAAAACAGATATCAGTCAGTCTATTGTCCAAGAAAAATTGTGTTCATATATCGCCATTTTATTCGGTTATGAAGTTATATAGAACATGACGCGGTTCCTTCCATAGTGCATTTCATCTACTCCAGCGGTTAGACCCCGACGATTAGAGAGTGTTCGGGAAATACCATCTTGGTGCTCTCTAAACCATGACGACTTCAAAAATCAATCAACATATTGGCTAATCTCAAAATTTTGCAAAAAAATCCTCCAAACATTACGTGAGACATTTGACTTTTTCTCCTATAATGTCTTTTACTATATTGGGGATCATGTTTTGTGTTAGTCTATTTTGTTTCATATCTATAAAGGGTTTTGAAATTAAAGCATGAGAAGAGAGATTGCTACACAAGCCCTATTGGACTCAAAAGTTAGTAGTAAAACTTGTACAAACCACAAGTTTATACAAATAACATTTCTGCAATAGCATATATTTGGAGAAATAAAATATTAACTATTTTGGAATTTCTTTTTATATCAAATATACCAATTTTATGACTAAAATGTATCTATTTCTATTATTTAGTGAAAAACTGAAATTTGATAAACGTTTGAACCAAATGATTTGAATTATGTGTAACTGTGTGTGAATATGTATTACTTTCGATAAGTACAAATTTTTCAAGTAACGTTCGTGTTATTTATTGTATTCTTCCATTATTAAATATAGAATCTGGTACGTTACACCTCCACATTCTTAAATTCGAATAAAAAGACAAATATTTTAAGACGAATATTCTTACATCATTTGTTAAAATTATTTATCAAATCACATTTATCAGCATGTAACTTTTACATAGATAAATTTGACATTTTACAGTAGTACGTATTCAAGTCATAACAGTAAAAGCTCTATATAGATCCAAGAACTTGTTTTGTAAAGGGTTAACTGAAATACGATTTTCATAAAATAAAAAAAAAAAGCCACAAATTCATGAGTTTTACAAGATTTGCAAATGAGCGACCTTAACATTACAATTGCTTAAATGATAACTCTCAAAACTTCAGCTTTTCTCTCATAATTAAGGCTTAACCAGAGACATTGATAATACAATGCCTAATCAACAATCAACTTCTCTTATTTTCTTTATATTAGTTATCTAATTCAATCACTCCATTTCTTTTGGCTTTTCTCTCTTCCTCCTTCCTGAACTTGATCCCACAAGCATTGCATAAACTCTGAAACAAATTTACCAATTTAAAAATTAATAGTAATTATTAAGCAGCATATATAATTAATATTTAAACATGATTTATTATTTGAAAATTAAGAGACTAATTACCTTAGGACCAAGAGGACCCCTTCGCCACATAGGAGTGTTAAGTGCGTTACAATTCATGTTCGTACACTTCTTCATCCCTTCAATCCTGCCCCCGCAGAATCCACCGCAACCGCGAAGCCGCTTCGCGGTTGCGTTTTCGTTCCAAGTGTTTGCCATCGCCGTAGAGTTGTTACGACGAACTCTCCTAGCAGGAACATCAATCAGAACATACTCATCACTCGCCGGAGGCGTCTCCGGAGCCGGTACCGGTGCCGGTGCCGGTGCCGGAGACGGTGGCATCGGATAAGGAGCAAAGTTCGAGGTGTTGGGGGCGCCAGCAATCTGTTGAACCACGTAATTGTAGATTCTGATGTTGAATTCCACGTTGTTTCTTGCAGCTTCGTTGTGGATCACTTCATCATTTCCCCAAAGAGCCCGACGGTGGTTTAAAACTTCGCCGCCGTCGTTGTTGTTGTCTCCACGGCCGTTGGCCACGACGTTGGTTCTCTATATATGTTTGTTACATTATTAATCAAATCTCCATTTATTAGTAATTAATGCATATTTTATGTAATATTTGTCCATATGTAGGAATTAACTGTAAAAAGAAGATGCTGATAAGGATTTCAATGTTTTTTTCCTCCAATTAGTGTTTTTTACCTTTAAAAAGACAGTGGGATTACCGTTTTTTAAGAGAGATTTTTTTATGAATTTAATAATAGTTCAATGAATTTAAAAAACTTTGAGATTGTTTCTGATAAAAAAGAATTAGTCCAATTTTTTCAAAAGCAAATAAATGAAAGCATAGATGGTATCAGTAGATCTCTCTAGGATTTGATCCATGAGATGAAGATTTTTCATATTTATTCATCCCCACATCAATCAATTATAGTGAAAAAAAAGGAATAAATTAATGAAATAAGACCTGATTAGTGGTGGTGGTGGAAAGGTTTAAGCTCAGATGTGTGTCAACAGTCGAATTTGGCAAACCCAACTTCAGTGTTAAGTCCAATTCCTGCTCCATTTTCACTATAGAAACGTTCAAGAAAATCAATTATATGAATACAATTTACAAAAACATTTCCGAAAACAATATATACAAACAAGCAGCATAAAATATGAGAATATGGCATGCACTATCTGTGTTAAAACACTTACAGAGATTAAGCAAATCGATCAACAAAATTTTAGATTTTATTTTTTCAGATGTGAAGCTATAATCGATCCCACTAATCTTGTAGAGATCGTGTGTTGCTTTGGTGCATATATATACAAATAGATGAATACATATGCCTTTACATATATATGTAAGCACGTATTTAGAGAGTAACAATAAGGCATGAGAAATGTGATTATCGTCAAATCATGATTGCTACATGACAAATCGAGCTTAATTTTGAAAAAAAAAACATTAAATATTCAAAAAACGGTAAAATTTGTTTAAGACCAACCATGGAAATAACATGAGAAGACTGAGAGGGAGATTAGAACTTACAACAAGAGAATCTTTTTCCTTAAATATTTTTTAAAAAACTTTTTGTAGGGAATTTGATGATAAGAAATGGATTGATTTATAGATTTCGTGTGATTTTTCTATATCATCGAATTATTGCTTAATTTTCATTCATTTTTTATCCGATTTTTTTTTTTTTGAAATCTACAGCAAAAAATTTCGGTCAATTTTATACTTTATATAGACGCTAAATTTTTTTTCTAGTCATTGTTCATTAATACAATTTTTTTTTTTTTTTAGTAATTATTACTTGAATTTAGAATAGGATTGGTAGAGTTGGTACAAAAGTTATAATTATAAAGTGCATTCTATTGAAGTTGTCATGATATATTTTTGGTATCTGTCAGAAAAATTGTTATCAGATCATCGTTGCTGAATTTTTAATAGATACGACACGCAACTTAATCGTTGTAGGACAAACTTAACTCAATTTCTCATTGGGTAGGAATTCAGATCCACTCGCTAGTTTTTAAACGATAGAAAATTGTTTTTATATTATAACACAACTCTGACAGTTTTTCGGGATTTTTCTTCCAAAAGCTTTCGAATAGTACTCAATCATAATGTACGTTATAAGAAGACAAAAAGTCCAAAAATTGGCCGTCTTTGGGTTCGAATCGGTTTAATAGTTGATTCGAGAACCGGTCTAAAACCAATATTTTTTGGATATTGTTCGATTCGAATAGTTTTTACCCGAATCTGCCTAAACTATCGGAAAAATATCCAAAGTACCTGAAAAACACGAATTTAATCGAATAAAAAAGTTAGAATGGGGAATAAAAAATTATCGGGTACAATTAGAAGAGTAATGGGTTTAGTTGGAGTTTAGGTTTGCTCGGGTACCGGTTCAACTTTTGGGTATTAGTCGATCCTATAGGAACTTTTGTGCGCTAATTGAGGGTTTGGGAGCATTCTCTCTTAGAACTCAAGCAAGGGGAGGTGCTATGTTCCTATCATTGTTGTCTGAAGAAGCGAGCAAGTACCAAAACCTCAAAAGCTTTTATTGCGTGTTTAGTGCTAGGGTTTAAAACGAGAGGTTAGATAGATCTCTAGAAAAATTTAAACATATGTGTTTTCCACATGTCGTATTCTAGAAAATTTAAACACGGTTAATTCATGTAATTAATATCAATAAAACCATTAATTAACATGGACTCTATCGCCAATTTTGTCATTATCGACGAGTTTCACAAAGTTTGGACCTTGATTATTTTGTTTAGAGATGTTCAAATCATTATATCCGAATAGTGATCTTAAGACTATTTTTTACGGATGATGTGATTTATTTGGAAAGCTATATATAAAAAAAGTATTAAAGAGTATCCAAATAAAATCTTAAAAATTATTAATCACGTCTTAAATAAGTATAATCCTTGGAAGGAAGAGACATCGTAGTGAAGAACAATCGGATCAATTGTTAAATCAATTTATGTACGACTTAAAATAGGCGGACATCAAACTTTCGAATTGGATGGCCTAATAGTAGCTGCATCTATGTTTTTTTTATTCTTACATCGGTGATTTTGATTTGGTTTTATTGTGTATATCTAAAAACTATTTTAGTTAAAAAAAGAAGAAGAAAGAAAATTTTTAGGTAAGACATGAATATAAACTTAAGAAAAACAGAAAGCACTTCTATAGTCGATTAGAGAACCAAAATTACATCAAATTTTGGAGTCGAGTGTATTTTGGGTATCGCAATGGATGAATCCGATTCCAAACCCCTCGATTGTATCAAACATAGAGAATTAATTTACCTCATAATTCGTAGTTGTTGAGTATCTTTTGTCAACAACTTTAATCGATTAGCTCAACTGAGCCAACTCTAGGGGATATCGTTTACATATGTGATATAATGCGGTTCGGTACGAACTTTTTGTGCCAAATTATCCGCTTTAACATTTGAGCGTTGAGTAACCAAATATAAAAAAATTTAGAAAATTCATCTTTGTTGTTCTGAATTTCCTCTAGATATGCAAAAAAGTTGGCTATTTTGTAGGGAAGACATTATATTCACCAGGTCGAACAATATGTGAAAAATGACACGTCTCGCTTGTCGGCTCTAATCACACACTTTATCCAAACGAGTGATTCTGTTTCTGTATGTAAGGAAGTCAGTTGAAGGTTGGCAGCTCCCATGATTGGCGTGACCCTAAACCCTATACTCATCCTAGTCCTGAAAACTTGTCACCTTCTTTCCAAGAATCATCTACGAAACATCAAAATCCTAAAATATTTGACTGTTGAACTCTATTCCCTATTTAGATTGTCTGAAACCAGTATCCCCTAATTGTCTTCAGAGATCTCGACCTGAGCTAGTTGCCAAGCCCGTTCCTCAGTTTCCGCCAAATGCAGAACTTAAGTGGATTTCTGTCCATATTTTGGTAAATCTTACCATTTCTAATTTTCCATAAGTATCATATAATCTATGGATACATGATGTATAGACTCCCGGAGATGTTTTCTAGAATAAATGATCTATATTTGTATATTATAAACTTGATGGAAAAATCCCTGGTACCGTTAGAATTATAGCTATGAGTATCAAACAAATAGGAATATGTAAAATTTGGGTGGAAGAAATGAGAAATTATGGTTAGAATTAAGAATTATATGTAATTGACAAAATCACTTTTTCCAAACATAAAAATGTGATAAAAAAACTTTACACAATCATTTAAATCCAAAATAAAAATTTGCATTCAACCATTTTAAGTAAAACTTATAGTAATGAATAGTCAAGGATATAGATTGCATATTACATAATACTACTTTCAGAATTTTCAATCAAATCTACAATATTCCTTTGAAGGAAAAAAAAAAAAAGACAAATAGGTAAACTTCGATCATAACGTTAATTTTGGTTTTCTTACCAATTTGTTTTTTCTTTTTTTCTAAAAAGGTAATTAGTGTGTTTTGTCAGGTCCAAAATAAAGTTTTGTCGTGAGGTCAAAATCTACGGTTACAGTAATTTTGATAACCTGTAAATGTGTGTCTAATCGAAAATTACAAAAGACCAGTTGGTGCATGAGACTTGTGAGCTTAGATTAGTGTGCGAGAGTCAGACAGAGAGAGAGAGAGAGAGAAAGAGAATTTCGAGTGATGTCGAAGATAACGTTAGGGAACGAGTCAATTGTTGGGTCTTTGACTCCATCGAACAAGAAATCGTACAAAGTGACGAATAGGATTCAAGAAGGGAAGAAACCTTTGTATGCTGTTGTTTTCAACTTCCTTGATGCTCGTTTCTTCGATGTCTTCGTTACCGCTGGTGGTAATCGGGTAACAAAATCTCTACTTTCAATTCCGAATCATGGTTTTCAATTCTGGGTCTGTTTAGGTTTTGACTGAGATTTGATTGATTGCAACAATAGGACCTTTCCTTTTGGAATTCTAGCCTTGAGTGAGATTAAAAAATTGAAACTTTGCTGCTTGATGATAATCTGTTTATCCCCTTTTGAAACGGCCATCAATGGTAATGAAGCATTTAGTTCAAACTTTCTGGTATTGGAGATTTTGTGAAAGATATGGTTTTTTTTTCTAATTTGAAGTGACTTCATTACCTTATACACTTGATTTGATTCTGTTTCTTGCTTTGAGATTTCATAAAAAAAACTGAAACTTTGCTTGATGTTAGTCTCTGCTTATCTATGGGGGTTGGTTCCTATTGAAACGGTCATCAATGAGTTTTGAAGCGTTTAGTTTAAGCTTTCTGGTAGTGGAGATTTTGTGAAAGTTATTTTTTTTTTTCTAATTTTGAAACTAGTTAGAGAGTGAACTCATTACCTTATACACTAGATTGCTCTATCTTGTTTTCAATGTGGGTTCCTAATGTACCTGATAGTGGCTTTTTGGGCTCAATTATCTTCGTCGAAAGATCGATCGTATACCTTTTTGGGCTTAGTGGGCTTTGATACCGTGTGAAAGTTCTCGGGTTCCGTTTAAAACCAATTGGAAATGAGTGGAGTTAATTCGTAATCATATACGCTTGATTAGGTTTCATATTCTTTGGGCTCAATTGTCTTCGGTCGAGCATTTGGGATTAGTGGGCTTTGATTACCGTGTGAAAGTTCTCGGGTTCCGTCTAAAAACCAATCGGAAATGAGTGGAGTTAATTCGTAATAGTATACATTTGATTAGGTTTCATCCTCTTTGGGCTCAATTGTGTCTTCGGTCGAGGGTTTGGGATTAGTGGGCTTTGATACCGTGTGAAAGTTCTCGGGCTCCGTCTAAAAACCAATCAGAAATGAGTAGAGTTAATTTGTAATCTTATACACTTGGTTTTGTTTCATCCTCTTTTTAATGTTGTATTCCTAATAGTATTTTTCCTTCTAAAGGTTATTCAGTTGCTCAATGTGAATGATGTTTCTTAGCTGAGCTAGTTCATGAATCTCATTACTGCCATTGGTGTTTCTCTTATTATGTAGATTACTCTGTACAATTGTCTCGGAGATGGTGCCATATCAGCATTGCAATCCTATGCTGATGAAGATGTAAGGAAGCATACATATTATACATATACTAGCTTTTCCATGAAATTAAAATAAGTGATGTTTCATTGAGACCTTTTGGGTATATTATGTCTATGTCCTCTGGAGAGCAGAAGGAAGAGTCGTTTTACACTGTAAGTTGGGCGTGTGGCGTTAATGGGAACCCATATGTTGCGGCTGGAGGAGTAAAAGGCATAATCCGAGTCATTGACGTCAACACTGAAACGATTCATAAGGTATTATTGCATTTTTATGGATGTTCTATGTATCCTAGCAAATGATTCTATTTCTTTCTTGTATAATCTGTGCTCGCACATGTGCAGAGTCTTGTGGGTCATGGAGATTCAGTGAACGAAATCAGGACACAACCTTTGAAACCTCAACTTGTGATTACTGCTAGCAAGGTATATCTTTTGGCTTTCTTTCTTTCTAATATATCGTTACATCTATTTATTTGTTGATGGTTAAGAGCTGTTACGTTTTAATTGAATAAGGATGAATCTGTTCGTTTGTGGAATGTTGAAACTGGGATATGTATTCTGATATTTGCTGGAGCTGGAGGTCATCGCTATGAAGTTCTAAGTGTGGTGAGCCAATATGGTTTTTATATATTCCCTTAAACAGAATGGATGTGAAAGAAAACAATTACCTAATTCAGTTAGTTTCCTACAATAATTATAGAGACATGTTAAGGATTACCATCTTATCTTGAAAATTGTAGGATTTTCATCCCTCTGATATTTACCGCTTTGCTAGTTGTGGTATGGACACCACTGTTAAAATATGGTCGATGAAAGGTACGATCGAGCACATTTGTAGAAGGAACTTCCATTTTTAAATCCTTTTGAGAAAAATGACTTGTGGTTCGTTTGTATAATCGTCTTATTCTTTGGCTGTCTATAGAGTTTTGGACATACGTCGAGAAGTCGTTCACATGGACTGATGATCCATCAAAATTCCCCACAAAATTTGTCCAATTCCCTGTAAGTATTTTGTATTTGCCTTGTATTGTAACAGCAAGTGATATACAAATATTGGTGATGGCCTCTGATTAACATTACTTCTATGTGTAGGTATTTACAGCTTCGGTTCATACAAATTATGTAGATTGTAACCGTTGGTTTGGTGATTTTATCCTCTCAAAGGTTAGTAAGTCAATGATGGTTAAGATAATTTCATTTGGTGTAATAAGCTAAAAGCGGAAAGGTGTACTATTAAAATACTTACTCTTGTGTGTTCTATCGCATTTTAGAGTGTGGACAACGAGATCCTGTTGTGGGAACCACAACTGAAAGAGAATTCTCCTGGAGAGGTTAGTATCTCATTGTTGCTCCAAACATAACAGAATCATTCATTTTATCACATATATTACAGATTGAAGTTTTTGTGGTTTGCAGGGAACTTCAGATGTTCTATTAAGATACCCGGTTCCAATGTGTGATATTTGGTTTATCAAGTTTTCTTGTGACCTCCATTTAAGTTCTGTTGCGATAGGTGATCAGAGAGCTCATTAGATAGAAATTTGCATTATATATAGATTACTTCAACATTTCTCATACATTTTGTGACAAATTACTCGCTGGTTTGTTATCAGGTAATCAGGACGGAAAGATTTATGTCTGGGATTTAAAAACTTGCCCTCCTGTTTTGATTACAAAGTAAGTTAGTTTCTGATTCAGACACGATGTTTGATTTTTAGTCAAATGATTAAGCTTCACTTTGGTGTCTTTGTTGTAGTCTTGACATGATTCTCTGTTGCCATATAGGTTATCACACAATCAATCGAAGATGGTAATCAGGCAAACCGCCATGTCTGTCGATGGAAGGTATATTTCATCTTCTCTCTCACCATTGCACTGAAAACTTCTTAGTTTTATTTATGACTCAATATTACTGTATATAAAACCAAACATTGGATTCCGACATACTATGTTTCTTCCATGGGATTGTAGCACAATTCTTGCTTGCTGCGAGGACGGGACTATATGGCGCTGGGACGTGATTACCAAGTAGTGGTCTGAGTCTTGTAGGAATTGATGAATTAGGAATGTGGAGAGATATCCATTCTTTTATTGTAACTCTGATCATGGTTCTACTCCTTGAGAGATGCTCTTTATAGCCTTGTTAACTTCGACCCTTGTACCACAGTGTAAACCCTTTGTGGAGATTTTGTCTTATTCCCTTCTGTTTAATACACAAGGCTGTATCCTGGAGCTTTATTGCAGGAACCACTCTCTTTCATAAGCTGTCTGGTCTTCAAAGCACTATCCCATGCTCCATTAGCTGCATGTACACTGGCCAAATTGATATAATTGACTGATTTCTTCGGTTCCACACTCAGAAGCTGCGCGGCTGCTACTTTACTGAGCTGCACGTTCCCATGACGCCTGCATGCATCAAAAAAAGCTCCCCATGTTGATGAGCTAAGACTTATAATACCCTCTTTACTTCTTATCAGTTCATAAGCTTCGTCCAAGTAGCCACTGCGCGCAAGCATATCTATGATGCAAGATAAGTGCTCTTCTCGAGCTTTGATACCGTGCTTGTTGATCATTGTGTCGAAAATCTTCCAGCCAAGTTCAGTTTGTCCTGTATGGCTACAAGCAGAGAGGAGAGAGAGAAATGTAACGTCATTCGGTTTGATCCCTTCATGCTCCATTCTGTTATAAAGATCAATTGCTTTCTCAAAATTCCCATGTCTTCCATATCCTGCAATCAAAGAGGTCCATGATCTCACATCTTTCTGTTTCATCTCTTCGAAAGCAAGGACTGCATCCTCGATTTCCCCAGACTTTGCATACATATCTATCAGCGAGTTACCCAAAGCAACATCAAATCTGATTTGGGAAGATTTTAAGGCAAAACCATGGATCTGTCTTCCAATGGTTACCGATGCAACAGTGGTGCATATTTTAAGCATTGAAGATACTATAACCTCGTCCATCTTTGTTTTCATCAGTATCATCTCTTTGAAGATATCAAAGGCATCACTTCTGCAGATGTTCTGCTGTGCAAAACCTGTAATTAGAGCAGTGCAAGATATTAAGTCTCTTTTCGTTGTGTCCTCGTGCAGTTTCCAAGCATTGGCAATGCTACCACACTTCACATATGCATCAACCAGAGATCTAATCAGTGCACTTGATCTTCCATACCCCAGCTTGATCGCTAATCCATGTAATTCACAGACTAGTTCAAGACACTTAACTACAATAGAAGCTCTCAAGAGGCTTCCAAAGGTGAAGCAGTCAGGCTTCTTCCCTAATACAGAACAACACAAGAAGCTGTTTAACCAAACTGTCATAAAAGTTTTGAAATACGTGGCAGAAATAGAAACGAGTAGTTCACCTTCCGCGAACATAAACTGAAACAGACTAAACGAAGTATCTGCACAAGCATTGGCGGTGTATCCATCGATCATTGCATTCCAAGAAACCAAATCCCTTTCTTTCATTGAATCAAACTGAAGACGAGCTTCCTCCATCTTTCCACACCTGGCATAAAGAGAAAGCAATGCACTCCTCACAATTAAGTTCCCTGCAAATGTCCCTTTCTCCAAACAACCTTGTATCTGCATTCCTTCTTTAAGACATACCAAATCTTTACACGACTTCAACACACTCCCGTAAGTGAACTGATTAGCCCTAACATCTTCCCGGTGCATCTGTTTGAACAACAACAACGCGTCCCGGTGATATCCACATCGAGAAAACCTCGAGATCATAGCTGTCCAAGAAACCACATCTCTCTTAGGAATTCTATCGAACAGTTTACGTGCATGTTTCACATCTCCCTGTTTTAAGTACAAATCTATCAACATGTCGTTCAACTGGAGATTGGAGCCGAACCCATTTGTCACCGAATTCCCATGGATCAACAAAAGTTGTTTCTTGACGTTTTGGTAGCTGCATAACTTGAGAGCCTTGAGGTACAAAGAATGGCTTAATAAGTAGCTTTCCGAAACAACCAGCATTATCCAATATCCACCAACTCGAATTGGATTCAGATTTGAGACTTGTACAAAAAGCGATCTCTTTTAACTGAAATCAACCATGACGAACGTAAAAAACATAACTTTTTGCAAAAATTTCTCTAATCTTTTCAATCCAAAAAGACAGTTCTTTTTTGGGTAATTGCAAGTACAAGCATTGCTCATAGACATACACAAAATTCGTTTCCACCGTGTATATAAAGGATACAAAAATTTTCCGGCCGCTTGAAGTAGTGATTCTCACATCTCTATATATGCTATATACATCAAAGAATTAGCAGCCTGCTTCACTTCTTCTTCTCGTCTGAGTATATGTTTTAGATTTGGGTTCGTAATTTAGCCATTAAGCTCTGCAAGCTCTCGAGTTTCCGCTTGAGCTCGTTGGCGTGTTTTGCCGAAGATTCTGAATCATTGAGATCAGAAACTAGAGCTGAACACTTGGCCTCTAACTCCATTGAGGCTTCTTCAATGGACGAAATGGTAGATTCGAGGTTTGTACGTAAAGCAATTTCTCTCATCGAATCTGATGATGCAGCAAAAGGTGAGCTTTTGGGACTTCCTGCTCTGCTTGCTTTTGGAGAGAACATTTTGTCAAAACCTTCACTTCCTGCAACATAGAGACATAGAGTTATAAGCCAAAAAGGGAAAGTTGAAACTATAATCTTAAATAGAAGCAGATGAGTGTGAGATAAGCATACCAAGGTTACTTAGTTGATTTAGAGTCGCCTGGCCAATAGATTCTTCAAGTTTCAGCACACGTAAAACCCCTGCAACTATCCTTCCCATTGCGTCAACTTCAGATTTGCACAAGAATGTCAAATGTTGCAGCTCATCCTTTGTAACAATTGCCTCAACCTGCAGCACAAAGAACAAAAAAAAAAACTCTATTACAAAAATACTTTACTAAAAGGAAGAAGCAAAGAGTAATGAGCTCAGCTTCACTTACAGGTTGCTTAACAGAGAATTTCAGACTTTCTGCCACCCAGTTCAATGAGTCGTCACGAACAGATTTGTCTTCGGATGCCACAATATTAGCTTCAATGTTAACCCCTCCATGCATGTGACCGTTTTCGTGAACTCCATTTGTAGGCAAACCATTACAAGAATCGGTCCCTTTCTGCATTTGAGGCTTCACTGTCTGTAGACCTTCGACACTGACCTATAATGCATTTCCCAAAAAAAAATTAAAAGGCTCAGTAACTAAAGGTCCACAATCTTTATGGCATTCAAGAATGTAATTTTGTAAGACAACAGAAAAATAAAGGCTGCTTTGGGAGTTACATATGGTTTTTCTACGATCACCACCAAACTCTCCTTCAAAGTGATGTGGTTACAGAAAGTTCAGGGAAAGAAATTGAGCTGTGGAACGGAGTACATATACTTACAATAATTGAGTCCACAGGATACTTGTGAGCATCATACTGGTTTTCTGTCCCATTTGGATCCACATTCTTCGGTGTACTCTTGGCTATTACTCGGAAAGTACGAAAATTAGTGTGCCAACACCTCTCTTCTCTTCCAATATCTTCATCATTCAGAATTCCTGTGCCAACACCTTCTCTGCCCTCCAAAGCAAACAACCAGTCTCTTAACTCAATAGAGACATCAATGTCATCTGGCCTTTTCAAATGTGGGAAACCATCGCCGTTCCAGTTTCCTGGAGTTCCATCTGGATGCATATATTAGCAACAGTGGTTAGCGAAACTTGAAGCTGTAAACAAGAACAGTCTGCATAGAGGATACTTTCACATGAACTATATGAAATGGAAACAATTAAGATAGGTTTTTTCAATACCCTTTTTCCTGTCATCAACTATAGATGATTTGAAAAGTTTTGACAAAGGTCCAGAAGATAAATGCTCTAATCCTCTAGACAGACCCTCTCCTGGACCACCAACAAGATTCAGAATTCCGAATCGTTGTAATAGAGCTTCAGCATAGCTCATTCCACCTCCTAGGCGTACACCTGAAATACAAGCCACAATGCTTACACTGTGGCATTCCATATCCTTTTCACTGAGGGGAATCACATGTGTTATGCTTATGTCCAGAAAAGGTGTCATAACAGTGCTGCCGCTATGCCCATCATGTCTGCCGTTGACAACCCAAAAGACGCGCCTCAGTGGGGTAGACCCATTACAGCTAACTAAGTGACCATTCCAGCTATTCTCATGTTCATGTTGTAAGTCGGTATCTACACAATCTACCTCAATATTTTCCCAGTATATGTTGGAGGATACTGCAACAGCACCACCAAGGGTTCTATGAGTTACCTTCACAGAAAGATCTTTGCCAAGAAACTGAACGAGTGGCATGTCTTGTGTACTAGTAAAGGAAGACTCCAGAAACTTAAGCTGCAAATCCTTCAAAGCCAATTTTACAGCAGTATCACTGGGAACCTTCTCCAACAACCCTCCAGTCAAAGAAACAGTATTCTGGCGTTTGCTTTCTTTAACAATTGAAATCTTTTCACTGACCTTACCAAAGTAAGAATAGAGGTCCAGAACAAAAAATAACTGCTCCACTGAAGCACGCGAGATATATTGCTCACAAGCAACTCCAATGCGTACAATACCACCAGGAGGAGGAATTGTTATCAGTGGCTTTCCATCCGCAGATACCATAGCAACTTCTATAGACACGTCTTTTCCTTCAACACAATTCCACAAACCCATTTCCGGACCATGAGGGCTCTGAAGTTCAGTTGAGTTGGGAGATGTTTCCAAAGCCAAACTAAAATGTGAGGCTCCAGCTGTCCATTTCTTTTGGCTGGCATCAATAGGCTGTCCTGGCCAAAGACAGAAGCAAGCAGGATCCTTCTCCAGGTTTAGAAGCCGAACTTTAAGGGTAGGTGACTCTGCAAAAGATAAATTCTCAATATGAAGCCTCGCTCCAACGAAGGATTTTTTTACGGAAAGGTCTTCTTTGATTGCTGAATCTTCCAAGTTACTCATGTCTAATGGAACAGAGACATCTAACTCCTTGAGCGTGAAAAGAAGAGAGTTAACAGAGTTATCAGGCAAAACATCACCGGGATTTACAACAATGCCATCAGCCAGAAAAGAAGAAATTCTTAAACAAGCTTCTTCCTGAAGATGAACCTGAGAAAGGATAGAAGAAGAAAAGGGTGAAGAATTTGTTAAAAAGAGAGAATTTTGATTTTTACTTGACATACACATACCATGAGTGGTTGGCACTGGATAACTGTCTTTGAGAAAAAGTGTGGAGGTTTTGGGGATGGCTTGACCTGAAGAGAGTGTAGGGAGATCAAGGGTACATCCTGAACTATTTGCCACGGGCCGCTGTCCAATGGATATATGAGAGGGCAAAAATTCTTGGCTGCCCCAAATACATGGATGGAAAATTAATCAGCATGAAATTGTTTCAACAACTGACAGGATCACAATAGATGAACTTTTGTAAAATACAGTCAGGAATTATTAATACCAAACTCGGGAATTGCAAGGTCTTCGGCAGCAGTTTTCATGGATGGTTGGACTAGAGCACAAGGAGCGCGCGAAAAGGCATCCCTGAATTGAAACCATGAGTGATTATGCAAGAACTTTAAATTCAAAGTTGCGAACCATTACATGCATCCGAAAATTATACAAATATTATAAGTTAACATAACCAGCAAATGCATGTGAAACAAAGAAATGAAAAAGGTAAAAGAGCTAGCTTCAAAAGACAACATCAACAGAGTACTCCATAAGAAGTAGATTATTTGAAGTTTTCCACAAATCTTTTCAATTTATATCGTATGACATACACTATCAAGTAAGATTTTGGCTTCTGCATCTATTAAACACTAGCAACACAAGGTAATCGGATAAAGGTTTCAAAAGAGCCATCAGAAACAAAGATCTTGACTATGCAGAAAGTAAATCGCAACTACGACAAACATAATGCCCTGAAGATCAACAGAAATTACAAAGTGCTCAGAGATCGTTCTAGTAAAATTGCAAAGACAAAGCTACTGATATGATGATAGGGAGCATAGTTCAAACTTTAAAGAAAGCTATAAACGGATTACTCTAATCAGGAAATTTACTATTGTATCCCGACATAAGCATATTCACCTTAAAAATAGCCCAACAATCAAAATCTTAGTCAAATAGTTAGCTGATTCTCCGTCCGAAACACAGGCCTGCAAGTATATATGCCTAGTGATGTCAGTTTACAGCACCATATATAATTCAAGATGCTTAGCGTACTGAAGTGCATTAAATAATCTGAGGACAATAAACTTTCTAGGAAACATAATATGAATGGGAAGAGATATATAGAGCTTGAGACAACCAAGTTAGTGGTCTAAACCATTATATGCATTAGTCATATTAGAGTGATTTATTAACCATGTAACCATTTTAACGAGGGAGAAAATCTGGTCCAAATCCCTAATTTCTTTATGAGTTCCTCACATTGCCCGAGATTTGATTTGATAATGTGTGTGTGTTGTTCCAACTTATACTAAACTTATACACACTTACAATTAATTCATAAGAACTAGAGTTCCTGAAATTTGGTTTACGATTTCCCAGAACTAAGAAAGCTCCATGGAGCATAAAGTGCATGCAGGAAACAAAATCATGCTAGTTACTATCTAGATCAAAATCTAAGAATCAATGAGAACATACCCGAGAAAAAAGAAGTGATTGCATTAGTAGTTCCAGTTGGAATTCTGAAACGTAGAAAGGTGGTACATGTTAAACCCAGGAAACAAGAGTAATGGTTCTATGCAAGACTGCACTCTTAGCTAACATGTGGTGAGTCAAATTAACTAACCAGCATCTTTAATGCAAAGAAATACATGGTCCACAAGAACGGAGACAAGAGAACGTCCTGCTGCTTCGGCAGACTGATGGAGGCATACCATTAAAGAGTGAGAAAAAGAATTAATGTACAACGTTTGCTTTAAAATGATCCAGTGGGAATGTGAAAATTTAAGACCTGCTGAGATTTTGGATCCACATCTCCTCGGTTAAGGCATAAGTACATTCCAGTTAGAAAGCGGAGAAGAGCGCGCAACCCTGTTCCGAAGAACAATGAGTAGACTTACTTACCAATCTGCATCAACCTACTATCTGAAAACTAAGAGAGTATGTCTTCAAACCTGGTTCACTTAAGGCTGGACAAACAGCTTCTGGAATGTGCAACTGGACTTCAAGCCCAAGTGGACTGTTTAGTGCTGTTCTCTGAACTGTGATCTGAACAAGAGGCCACCATCAGGAATGAATTAGGCACCAAAACATCTAATGCAGACAATCATCCTGCTTTAATGTCGTATATACAAGTAAAAGGGAATCGAAAACAAATATTTACATATGCTTGGCCAGATATTCCATCTAAAAAGCGTTCTCCACCAAAGAATACTCGTTTTGCACCATCATCATCTCTGAGATTTGCTTCTTCAGACCGGGCTAAATTAGCTTCAGTGAACATATCAGGGTGTGGTAGAAGATCAATTGATAAAGCTTCCCATTCAAGTTTCTGATAACGAAAGGATATGCATCACATGCAGAAAAACAAATCACATCAGGAATATTATCTTCAAAGAAGATTATCAGGTAGGAAGAGAACTTTTAAAAGCAAGCGCCATGGAAATAGATAGATATTTGGCACTGTTTATGCAAACACGGAATGCTTAATCTTGAGCCATCAAGAATATGTATCAAAGAAAACTAGCTAAAGAGTGGCATCAATACCTTAAACAAATAAATAAATCCTGTGTTAGTAGAGAAGTCCCTTGCTTCTTTCAGATTTACAACCTGTAAATGAAATTCATTCAGAATACTAATTCTTCCAGAAAAGAATTTTCTTACATCATGCTCGCAAATCTCACCTTCCAACTCTCATTAGTGGTGTACAGAACAAGGTTACGAATTGTAATAGATGCCAGCGGAGCAGCCCTAGATACAAAGTATAAGAGCTTAGATATACATAAACAACAATCCAAGGCATTTAGATTTAATCCCCGAGTAGAGGACAACGAAAACGAAATTACAGTCAGGTAGGAGTGTGAAAGGCATAAATTATAGTATAACCAGTATTCTGTATCAAAGAACCCCAAGTAACGAGATTCCAACACCCCATAGACATGAAGCTAAGTTTCAAATAACTAAACAATGTGTGCAGTAAAAGTAACTTACCAGGCTGCCCCTCCTTCACGGTGGGCACCACCTCCAGTTTCAAGAAGAAGATTGACCACCTTAACTTGTAAAGTCATTCCATCTGCAATCTGATCAACAATAATAAAATATAATTGCACAAGTACCTCTATATCAGAAATGAATATAACTATATGAACCAGAAGAAAGACACTGTAGCAAATTGACAGCATTGCTTCGACAAAACAAAAGGATTATATGCTTAGCTAGTCTTCAACCACATGTGTAAGAAAGACCAATAATGAACCAAGCTCAGAACAACCTACCTAACTAGAGGAGGCTAGAGCATTTGAACCACTAAGTAGAAAACTACTAATGCCTCTGCTTAATGGAATAACTTTTTTAAAAATTGACGAAGTAGCAGAGATACCTCACCTTGTCAGCAAATCCATAACCGTTACTTTTTGCGGCGGTAGGAGACTGACTACTAAAGGAAAACAAAGTAAGAATATAAATTAAGGTTTCAATAATATTCTGGAAAAATAAGCAAGGCTCAGAGAAGACTGGGTAGAAGCAAAACAGAAGGAAGTAGGGTCTCAGTACCAGCTTGGACCCTTTGTCACATCAGCATCAGGATTTTCTTCAAGAACAAGATCAAGTTTATCGATTTGCACAACAACGGGTTCCGTTTGTACGTTACTGACATATGGAAGCTATACGAGGAGGAAAATGAGAAGGAATCAAAAAGAAATTATTGCTTGTGGAGAACAAGATAGATCACACACGTTAACAGAAACAGAAACACATTTCAGTTCCATCAAATTCAAAAGAACTAGTGCTACTTATCCAACTATCCACTTAAACTGTCACAAATCCAAGCTATGTTCTTACTTGTTCAGAATCCTAAATCTCAATCTGGTTAAAGTAGATTTTCGAGCTCATTTCATCAAAATCAACAGAGCCGAAATTGCAACAAATCAAAGCCAAGTTCTTAACAATCGTAAATATATCTGGTTAAGGTGGAAACTACATAATATACCACTGCCAATTCCATATATGTTCCTCAACAACAAAATCAGAAAACAAGAGTAAAAAAACACAAACCATGATTTCCAATTTTCCAACTTTGGCAGTGGTCACACTAAGAGCTGGTGGCAAACCCATACTGGCATGTATAGCCTCACCATTAATGTCTGCAAAACAGAAAATCTGAATCAGAAGAAACACAAAACACAATCTTTTTTTTTCCCAATGAGAGAAGATAAAGACGAACCTAAATTAGAAAGCTGAGCGGTACGGCCTTGAAGCTTAAACTGATCTCTAGTAAACGATTTGAGCCAATACTTGAGTGTATACTCCAAGGCTCGAGCCAGTATCGACTCCATTGCCGATCCTCTGTGATTCGAATCACAAAAGATGGATCAACAACAACTGCAGCTCATAGACTTTGCCGGATTACGAAGATCCCAGATCCGAGAAATTGGGTTTATGTGGAGAAGCAAAAAGACGTGGAATCGAGAATGTTTGCGTCTTTAGGACATTTAGAGATTTTTGTTGTGTGATAATAAATTCAGAGAAAAGACTGTAACTTGAAAATGAGTGAGGACAAAAAAAAAGTATTATTGTTGTCATGTAAGGCTGGCACGTGCGAGGCTTCTCGTTTCGCACGCGTGAAGATTGACCGACGACGATTCATATTATTGAACGAGAGACCTAAAAGAGTTATTCTCTATCTCTTCTCTTCTATCATGTCGGCCATTAACGGATGGATGAAATAGGTCTTTTAAGGATTTGGTTTCAAACATCACTAGTTTGGATTGTTGGAGTTGTGATTTTTGATTCAAGTTCTGTTATGTTTTGGAACAATGAAAACTTACCACATTGATCATTGAAGCTAAATCATCTACTTTGGCTAGTTGCATTGAATCTCCATGACTAATGAACAAAACATATTGAACCAACAAATTATCCGAAGAAGAATGAAAACAGTATAATGGGCCAAAATAAGACTGGCCCAATAACAAGGATCTTTATCGGAGTACCGACCCATTATAGAGCAACTTAGCTAACGTGTCGGATACTCCACGTCTTCACTTGATTTCCGCAAGCTTGGATCTTTGCTCTGTAATAAAATCTAGGGTTTCTGTTGTTTTCTTCAGTAAAACCCATCGATAGCCTTTCCGGAAAATACATGCAACGACACATAATCTTATTTAAAACATAAAACAGCGGCGTACGAGACGATGATGATGTCCAATCTTCCACGTGATTTGGTGGAGGAGATTCTCTCTAGGGTTCCGTTGACATCTTTGAAATCAGTGCGATCTACTTGCAAAAAGTGGAACGCTTTAACCAAAGATCAGAGTTTTACAAATAAGCACATCCGCAATGTAGCAACATCAGGGGAAAGAGAGTTTCTGATGATCATGGATTATACAGCTTATTTGATTGGCGTCAATCTCCATGGAATTCAAAACAACAACAACTTTGATCTATCTATAAAGCTTAAAGGTAAACTTATCAGCCTAGCCGATTCAGATGAAGTATATCGTGGATCTCAGGTCTTTCACTGCGATGGTTTATTGTTATTCGTATTCGAAAATAGCTTAGTGGTTTGGAACCCGTATTGGGGGAAACCCAAATGCATAAAACGCAAGTATGTGGAAATAGAAATGTTCGCTCTCGGATATGACAAATCCTGCGGTAGCCACAAAATCTTGAGGCTTTTCGGTAATCACCCCAATAACATGGAAATCTACGATTTGAGCTCTGATTCATGGATCGCTCCGAGTGGCAATCTTGAATGGGATAGGGTGTATATGCGAGATGGCGTGTCTTTGAAGGGAAATACTTACTGGTGTGGTATGGATAAGGAATCAGTAGATTATCATTTGCTCTGTTTTGATTTTACAAGGGAGAGGTTTGGAACGCGTCTGCTTCTGCCCATCCAAGGATTTGGTGTGTCTCTATCTGCAGTTAAAGAAGAGCAGCTAGCAGTGTTAATTAAGCGGTATGATAAATCTGCGATAGAGATTTGGGTTACGAACAAGATTGAGCCTGATGCGGTGTCGTGGAACATCTTCTTAAAATTTGATATGAACCTATGTGTTTATGCTGCGAATTTCTTGATTGACGAGGAGAAAAAAGTCGCAGTGGTTTTTGATACAGTCAGGGCAGGGGGTAGTTGTAAACTCAAACTCACTTACACCAACATAGCTTACATCATTGGAGAGAATGGTTGTTTTAGAAGAGTGGATCTCCGTGAATCTCTATACCAACCTTCTCGTCCACTTGCTTGCTCTTATGTTCCAAGTTCTGTGCAAATAAAGTAAAACAAGATTATTATGAATTAGTCTATTTACATTCTCTTTTTTCTTTCATATCTTCTTTGAATATTAATTTGTTTCTCATGATCTCTCCTACGCAATATTATTATTCTCAGAGTAGAACTCTCTGTCTCTTCTCTCCTCAAGGATTTGATTTTATCTTAAACATCACTAGTTTAGTTTGGGACACCGTTGGTTTATATGTTTTGGAACAAAGAAATATCTACAGCATTGAATCCCCATAACTAATCGTCAAACATATTGAACCAACAAACTATTGTAAGGACCAACTAGTTTTTTTTAGACCTGTGTTAAATTAATCACATCTTATGACAGTGAGATGGATATGTGTCGTGTGATGTGTTAGAAGACTTTGATAGAATGATGAGAAATTTTACTAGGGAAAAAAATGTTGACTTGAGCGGAAGAGGGATAAAAGCGTTTTTGCCACAGATGTTTCAAAACATGGGTCTTGTCTCTAATGTGTCTAAATGGGCCCAATAATTAGGAAACGTAACAGATGCTCCACCGGCTTACTTTTTAGGGTTTCTGTGTCTTCTATAACAAAACGTCAAAACCTATCGAACGCCTCTCTAGACAAAACCACCATAATGGAAAAGAAGAGAGTTATTAATATTTGACCTAACTTCATTACATCGATATCGATCCTTGTTTCAAACTTGGAACGACGACGATGATGATGTCAAATCTTCCAAAGGATTTGGTGGAGGAAATTCTCTCTAGGGTTCCGCTTAAATACCTGAGAGAAGTGAGTTCTACTTGCAAAAATTGGAACGATATATCCAATACTCGGAGCTTTGCGAATAAACACATCGACAAAGCAACCGTATCAGGGGAAAAAGAGTTTCTGATGATCACAAAATTTAATGTTTTTCGGGTCGGCGTCAATCTCCATAGAAGTCAGAACAACAATGTTGATCTATCTATAGAGCTTAAAGGTAAACTTGTTAGCAGAGACAAAACAGATGATTTATTCCACAAATCTCAAGTCATTCACTGCAACGGTGTATTTTTATGCGCACGGGAAAAAATGCTTGTGGTTTTGAACCCGTATTGGGGACAAACAAAATGGATCATGCCAAGACCTCCTTTCGGGTGCTCAGACAGGTATGCTCTCGGCTACGACAAATCCAGCGGTAGCCACAAAATCCTGAGGCTTTTCGGTGTTAACCAAAAGAACCTCGATGTCTACGATTTGAGCTCTAGTTCATGGATGGTTCCTGATGATGTCACTCTTGAAAGGGATATATATATGCAACAAGGCGTATCTTTGAAGGGAGATACTTACTGGTATGCTAAAGATGAGGATTCAACAGATGGTTACTTATTATGTTTTGATTTTACAAGAGAGAGATTTGGACCGTGTTTGCCTCTGCCTCTGCCCTTGAATGAAGGTTATGCCCTATACAAAGGTTATGCAACTCTATCTGTAGTTAAAGAAGAGAAGCTTGCTGTGTTATTACAGCGGTGGGATACAACGGTTATTTGGGTTACGAACAAGATTGAGCCTGATGCGGTGTCATGGAGCATCTTTTTAAAACTTGATATGGAACCAAAGATTTATCACTATCAGAATTTCTTCATTGACGAGGAAAAGAAAGTCGCAGTTGTTTTTGACAAATTAGACAAAGACAGTTCAACTTGGCAGCCTTGGATGTTTAAAACCATTTACAACAGAGCTTACATCGCTGGAGAGAATGGTTATTTCAGAAGTGTGGATCTTCTTAAATCTCCAAACACACGACAACTTGGCCGCCTTGTGTGCTCTTATGTTCCAAGTTCTATGAAAGTCAAGTAACAGATTTATATAGAAATCAGTCCATTTTACATTCATTATGATTTCATCTTCTTTGAACAAGATTTTATCAATAAATATGAATTTGTTTCTCAATACTTCTTCTTATGCAATATATATGGTAGAGAATTCATTTACTTTACATTTTACAAAACAGAGAGATGACAAGGATCGAGCAAGTTAGACCAGTTTCTTGGATTCAGTCCAATTCTCAACATGGTTTATAAGCAATTCCTCCAGAACAAACAAAACAAAAACAAATCATCTTCGCGTCACGCAGAAGAGATTATGTCTCCAAAATCGATATTGGGATTAAGGCTAGAATTTTGGAAATTTTAAAATCAAAATAGATGAAGGAGAAAAGGAAAAGAGCACACAACTAACGTTTATAACCGAAACTGCATATGATCACACTATTTATGATCTAAAATGGCTCAATCAAGACACCTTTAACAAACTTGAGGTTTACTCTTTAGCTAACTTTAGAAATTTGTTTTATACCTTTTTCCTACTAGAATTATCTTTGTCTTGTACAATTTCTATTAAAATTCAACAATCTTTGATTATAATTACAAATCAACTTTATCAGGTGTTTCTTATAGTCCAAATAGCATTTTCAAAATATATATTTTATTCAACTAAATTTACAATTAATAGTTCTGGTTTTATTTATCACTAATAGGAATTTATATATATACTATTCATAACATATAGTCTCAAATTTTAAATTCCCAATTTTAAATGCGTATATTTTCTTAAAAAAAAAATCCCTTACTCTATCCAGAAAATTAAACCTTGTACAATTTTACTCTGTAATATAAGTGTATCATTAGAAAATTTTGATTTGATTTCAAATTGATAAATTTTGTTTCAGATGGCTTTTTCAACAAATATTTTAGTCTTAATGTTTCCGAAGCTGCTCCTAATTATGTCTAATAAATGGCCTAATCCGGCTAAATAGCCTAAACCTTATGAAGAGGCTGCAGATAAATTGTTGTTACATAAACCCTGATTTTAATTTGGAGTTCCACAATCTATAAGTACCTAATTAAAATCAGGGTTTATGTAACAACAATCTATCTGCAGCCTCTTCATAAGGTTTTTGGAAATTGACCTAACTTATCTGTGCTACGTTGTTTCTTGTTTGAAACTTGAAAACAACGATCATCGATGATGATGTCCAATCTTCCACAGGATTTGGTTGAGGAGATTCTCTCTAGGGTTCCCGTGACGTCTATGAGAACAGTGCGATCTATTTGCAAAAACTGGAACGGTTTATCAAAAGATCCGATCTTTACAAATAAGTACATCCGCAATGTAGCCGCATCAGGGGAAAGAGAGTTTCTGATGATCAAGGAATATAGTGTTTAGTTGGTCGGCGTCAATCTCCATGGTATTCGAAACAACAATGTTGGTCTATCTATAAAGCGTAAAGGTAGACTTATTAGCATGGACAATACAGTTCGGAGATTCTGTATATCCCAAGTCTTTCACTGCAATGGTTTATTGTTATGCGTTTCGGGAAAAAACATGGATGATAATAGGCTTGTGGTTTGGAACCCGTACTGTTGCAAACCAAAATGGATCAACCCCAGATATACTTATGCGACAGCAGCAGAGAGGTTTGCTCTCGGATATGACAAATCATGTGGTAGCCACAAAATATTGAGGCTTTTTGGTGATAACCTAAATAAAATCGAAATCTACGATTTGAGCTCGAATTCATGGAGGATTCCTAATGTCACTCTTGACCGGGATATAGTGTATATGCAACAAGGCCTGTCTTTGAAGGAAAAGACTTACTGGTATGCTAGAGATAAGGAATCAGAAGATAAATACTTATTTTCTTTTGATTTTACAAGAGAGAGATTTGGACCGCGTCTGCCTTTGCCCTTCATGTATTTCGATGATGTATCTCTATCTGTTGTTAAAGAAGAGCAGCTTGCGGTGTTAGTAAAGAGGTGGGATACATGTGAGATGGAGATTTGGGTGACGGACAAGATTGAGCCCGAGGTGTCGTGGAGCAGGTTCTTAAAAGTTGATATTAAACCACGTTTTGATTTTGCAAATTTCGCCGTGATTGATGTGGAGAAGAAAGTCGCATTGGTTTTTGATAAAAATGAGGCAGAGAAGTTGCAATCCAGTTACAGCATAGCTTACATCATCGGAGAGAAAGGTTATTTCAAAGAAGTGGATCTCGGTGAATCTCCATACACACCACTTTCCTGTCTGGCATGCTCTTATGTTCCAAGTTACGTGCAGCTCAAGTAACCCAGATTACGAATTAGTCTATCTACATTCTCTTTTTGCTTTCTTCTTCCTTGGATATTAATTTGTTTTTCAGTTCTTTTGAATAATAACTCGTGTTGATTATTTTGGATCTTAAAACTTGGAGAGGGTTTTTCTATATAAGACTTGAGGTTTTATATGGTGATTTTGGCAAATAGTCAGCTTTTTCTTACCTTTCTCCCCACTAAAAATTCTCTCTATCTAGCTAGTAAAATTTCTCGTTCCATTTTTTCATCAAAATTTCTCAATTGATATATAGAATATTAGAATGTGTACTCATTGTTAAATATGAGTTTGACACTTGACAGCAATATAGGACGAAAATACCAGGAAAGTAAAGGAATGATGAGAATATAGGAATATAGAAATAGGTAATTAGGGATTCCGCAAGCTTTATTGGATTAGGAAGTCTAATATATGGCATAATCGGGAGACATAAACTAGGGTTTTGGTCCTTACTAGAGTAGCGAAGAGAGCAACTTAGAAAACTAGGGATTTCGCAAGCTCAAAATGTTTGCTATAAGTAACAATCAGCAGCCTCTCGGAAGAGATCAGCAGACACTGAGAAAATTAAAAAGGAATGAGTTTTTGAAACTGACCAAACTTTGTCTGCTACACCAATCCTTGTTTGAAACATGAAACAGCGACGTACGGTGATGATGTCCGATCTTCCATGTGATTTGGTGGAGGAGATTCTCTGTAGGGTTCCCTTGACATCTTTGAAAGCAATGCGATCTACTTGCAAAAAGTGGAACGTTTTAACCAAAGATCAGAGGTTTGCAAAAAAGCGGGGAAAAGAGTTTCTAATGATAATGAATCATAGGGTTTATTTGATTGGCGTCAATCTCCACGACAACATTGATCTATCTATAAAGTGTAAAGGTAAACTTATGAGCAGAGACAAAACAGGTGAGGAATTATATGTGTCTCGAGTCTTTCACTGCAATGGTTTATTGTTATGCGTATCAGGAAAAAGTAGTCATGATACTAGGCTTGTGGTTTGTAATCCGTATTTGGGGAAACCAAAATGGGTCAAACCCAAAAATAATTATGGGATACTAGACAAATTTGCTCTCGGATATGACAAATTATGCGATAGCTACAAAATCTTGAGGATTTACGATTTTGATAATAAACTAGAAATCTACGATTTGAGCTCTAATTCATGGATGATTCCTAGTGATACTCTTGGACGGGATATAGAGTGTATGCAACATGGCGTGTCTTCCAAGGGAAATACTTATTGGTGTGCTAGAGATAAAGAATCACAATATTGTTTCTTGTTCTGTTTTGATTTTACAAGAGAGAGATTTGGACCGCGCCTGCCACTGCCCTTCAATGGAACTTATGTGTCTCTATCTACTGTTAAAGAAGAGCAGCTTACGGTGTTATTACAGCCGTCGGATAAATCTGAGATAGAGATTTGGGTTACGAACAAGATTGAGCCTGATGAAGTGTCGTGGAGCATCTTCTTGAAAGTTGAAATGAAACTACGTGTTCCGTCTTGGAATTTCTTGATTGACAAGGAAAAGAAATTCGCAGTTGTTTTTGATAAAGACAAGGGAAAGGGGTTTAAAACCATTTACAACATAGCTTACGTCATTGGAGAGAATGGTTATTATAGAAGAGTGGATCTTCGTGAATCTCCAAACAAACCACTTTGCCGTATTGTGTCTTCTTATGTTCCAAGTTGTGTGCAAATCAACTAAACCGGATTTAAGAATTAGTCCCTTTTACATTTTCTTTTTGCTTTTATCTTCTTTGAACAAGATTAGTCAATGCGAATCTCCGTGACTCTCTCTTTTTGTGTTCTTATGTTCCAAGTTCTATTCAAATCAAATAAACCAGACCTATGAATTAGTCTTCTTGCTTTCATCTTCTTTTAATATTAATTTGTTTCTCATCTCTTCTATGCAATTATATAATGAAGATTTAAGTTATTAAAGTTTTACAAAACAGAGAGACAACAAGTGACGAGCAAGGTACTTGTTAAGCAATTCCTCTGTTTTGCTTTATTTTCGGTTTGGGTATATAAACCGACCCAAACCGAAATCAAATTTTCGTTTGGGTATGTAAACTCAATTTCTTATTTGAACGACCTTATCCTCTTTCTCTTCTCTTCCTCATCATCAGCCATGGCTTCTTCGACTCTCTTCAAACTCAATTCACAGACTTTCAAAGCTCTAAACCCATCTCCACCTTCGTTAACTCCTCCTAACTCCAGAATTTTCCATCTTCATTTCCCCAAATCACTCTCACAACAACATTCAAAGCTCAACCACAAATCAACAACTACTCGTTTCTTCGTTCCTCTCTGTTTCTCTCTTCCTTCACCTTCTTCTCCTCCAACTTCCAAAGAAGAAGCCATTCTTCAAGCCAAGACTTGTCTCCTTTCTTGTCTCATCAAACCCTTAAACAACCCAAAACTCGCTTCCCCAAAACTCAGGAAGCTCAAACAACCAAGATTCCGTCTTGAAATCCCAATCCTTGACGACGATTCTCCTTCGTCTCTCTCTCAGCTCGCTTTTTCGATCTTCCATGACTTACCCATCTCGAGAAGAGGCTCTAATGTCAAGCTTCTCTTCCTCTGGCCTAACCCTTCATTCATCGATTCCGCCGTTAAAGCTTTCCGGTCAGACTCTGTTAACCACATTGCCATGTCTCCTGTTTCAGACTCTGTTAACAAAGCTCTGAGATCTGCTGACGTGGCGGTGTTCATGGCTCCGGAGAAATCACAGCTGGAGGATGTGAAGACGGCGAGTGAAGCTTTTTCCTCGAAACCTGTGGTGATGATCAATCCGAGATGGTTGTTTGAGGAAGAGAAAGGATTTGGTGATGGCTTTATTGGTTCCTTTGAAGTGATTTATGCGTTCACAGGTTTAGAAGTGAGAGGAGTGTTGAGTAAGAGAAAAGGAGTGATTTTTAAGTGTGTGAGAGATGGTGTTGTGAGTGGAGAGAGATGGAATGTTCTTGTTGAAGAAGAAGAAGGTAATGGAACTTTGAAAGTGGTTTCACAATTTAATGCTAGGCCATCAATGGAAGAAGTTGAGCTTGTTCTGTATAACTTGATGGCTATGAATTCTCCTATCACCAAATCAGCTAAGTTTCTGAAAGATTTGGTTTCAAACATCACTGGGAAGAAGTAATTTGTTAGGTGTACAATGTGTGTTACTATGTCTTGTTTAGTTTTTACTTTCATTGGAATTAAGAGAGATTCTTGATGGAATGTTTTCGATAAAGAAATCAAACTCGTTGAACCTAATCATCAATTAAGATTCTTTCACAATGTTTCCATCTAAAATCCCTCAATTGAATCTGAACTCTTTGTAGAAGAGTATAAATTGCAAATCCCATCATGAGTTCGAATAAATGGGGCAAAAATATAGCATAATTAATTAAAAATCAATATTAAGATTTCAATATTCAAAGCAAAGAGGGACTACACAACACCATAATTAAAACTAAAGAAACTAAACCAGATCTAATCTAAACCTAAGCTACACGTTAATTAGCTAGCAAACCACAACACCAAAACCTAATCTAGTCTTCATCAGCGGAAGGTTTGGAAGCACCAGCCTTCTTGGGAAGAAGAAGACTGTGAATGTTAGGCATCACACCTCCATTAGCAATCGTCACATCTCCAAGCAACTTACTCAGCTCCTCATCATTCCTCACCGCGAGCTGAATGTGACGTGGCACAATCCTAGTCTTCTTGTTATCCCTCGCTGCGTTTCCAGCCAATTCCAATACCTACACAGATCCAATTTCAAAACAACAAATTAGGTTTTACAAAATTGAAGATCGTAAAAGCAGAGAGTGAGAGAAAGGAGGGGATATTTACCTCAGCGGCGAGGTATTCAAGAACGGCGGCTAAGTAAACCGGAGCTCCGGCACCAACACGTGTTGCGTACTTGCCGTTCTTCAGAAAACGAGCGATTCGACCAACGGGGAATTGGAGACCGGCTTTGCTGCTTCTAGATGTTGATTTCTTAGCAACGCCAGATCCGAGAGTTTTTCCACGACCCGCCATTTGTGATTTTGAAAGAGAGACAAAAAAAAGTTGAAAATTTTCAAAGCGAGGGAAAAGAAGAAAAGCGTATGAATTGGAGAAGTGGCTCTTTGGTTATATATATATACTGTGTAGACACGGTTGAGTGATGCTTGTCCAATAGTAAACTATCACGCGGATCGATGTTACTGCCGTTGGATTAGATTAAGATCGACGGTTTATAATCGAGACGCTTGGATTCACGTTTTTATACTCCTGGATTCACTGTTATAAGCGGGATTGACGAAAATACCCTTCAGTGGATTTAATCGACATGATTTAATAATAGTGAAAATATTTTGAACTCTAAAAATTTCGCAAAATAAAACACTAAAAACCGAATTTACTAGATTAATCGTATTTTAGTTTCTAAATTATACACGTCCAAAATAAATAAAATAGCGTTGAAACATGAAAATTAAATGAATATTATGAATAATTTAAAAAAATTATGAAATCATATTGTTAAAAGGTAAAACATGGAAATGTGGTATACATTCATCACAATTGTGTGATACAGTTTCAGTTTTATCATATATTTTCTCCTAAATCTGATTAATCAATTTTAGCATGTCATATTATAAAACACGTATTCGATCGTGTAATTACTAATTAACGATTACACGTTTGGTAAATAACCATATATAGAATCAATTGTTTTTGACTTTGAAAATGAATTTTATGTACAGTACTAATTTGAGGAATAATACATGATTAGGCATACTAATTTTCAAAGTGGACAACTCATAAACGTTAATAACATGACATATTTAAAATATATATAAGCAGAGTAACATGTAGTCAATATCTTCAACAAAAAAAAATAGTTAGAAAATCAAAAAGATATAAATACGATAAAGAAGCCACCTCCTTCTTCGCGTCAAATCAAATCAAGAACGCCTCCAAACACAATCACAATCACAAACACAAAAACAAAATAAAATACTGTAAAATTCAAAAAATAAATTATGGAATCTCCTGATGAAAGAAACGGTAACGATGTCCGACAACCGTTGCTGCAGAAAATTCCGGCGAAGAAAGAAGCGGAGGGAGAGGAGAGATTGTGTATAGATGAGATGTTACAAAGATATTGCGGCGAGTTTGGGAGGTGGCAGCTGAAACACTTCGTGTTGACGTGTATTGGTTGGGCTTTAGAGGCGTTCCACACGATGGTTATGATATTTGCCGATCAAGAACCCGAGTGGAGATGTGTCGGGTCGGATTGTCGGGTCGGGTCATCTTACTGCGATATGGATTCGAGTTCTTGGGAATGGACGGCGGGTAAAGGGAGCTCCACGGTGTCGGAGTGGGGATTGATTTGCGGCGAGAAGTATAAAGTTGGTCTTGTTCAAGCTCTTTTCTTCGCCGGATGCATGATCGGTAAGTTTTTTTTTTCCTTCTAAATTTTTTGTGATTTAGGAAAATTACAAAACAGAAAATAACAGCTGTAGATTAAAAATGTTTTCTAATAGGTTTTTTAATTACAGTAAAAAAAAAATTAAACTCTAATCTTGGATTCTTTTCTTAAGACAATAAATAAATACATAATTAGGATTTTAATATAGTTTTTGAGTGTGTTATCTAATTGGATGACGACAAAAAAATTCATTCTAAAATCATGAGCTTGTGTTTAAGCAGCTATATTCGAAATTATCCTATAATTAATGAATATATCAACAAACATTAGATTAGTTGTTAGTTGTGCAAAAGTGTATATTGATCGAACCAATAAATTAGTTATGAGCACATCAATGGGCACGTTGGTTTGAATCTGGAGCATTCATACCACGTGCCTTGATTACATGAGTCGTTTACGATTTATCCAAAAATTTTGTAAAATAACACTTTAGAGTAAAGATATACCTCACTTTTTTCGATATACCTCTCAATTTTTTTAGTATTAGAAAATTTGGATGATAATGCTTTTACCCATTAGGCAGTCCAAGTTCACACACACACAAAAAAAAAAATGATTGGCGAGAAAGAAAAGATAGACTTTGATAGGGCTTGGTGACAAACAAAAAAACAAAACAACTAAAATGACAAAAAAAAAATGTATAATATACGTGTGACTGACTGACTAACGAGTTGATCACATTATATGTATATTATCTTGTTGGCTTTTTTGGTATAAAAAGTCAAAAATTACTTACTTTAATTCCATAATTAATTCGTTGCATCCTATACTATTATTTGGGGAGTACACTTTATAAGATACCCTTAACTAACATTCCCTTTTGTAAAAATTTACTTAAAAATGCCATTAGAGATAAAATTTCAAAGAGTAAATTAATTCATCTCATTAAGGATAAACAAGTCAATTTATACCATTTAATTAATTTAATTTAATTATAAAAACGAAAAATACATTATTATTATTTTAAAATGACTAATCAAAATGAATATATAAGATTTAATATCTAACTTACCTTATTAATTTGTTATTAATCATTATATTTCACCTCTCATCTTTATATGATTATATTATTGTGAAACAAATAAATCATTATATCATCCATATAATAATAAAAAATAGATTTTTTTTCCGCATATGCCATGATTTGAATTTTTAAAAACGAATATAAATTATTCAATTTATGAAAAAAAAAATTTAACGAATCCAAAATTTAGACTTGGATAATATATTTCTTTTAAACAAAAATAAATTCAACAAAAATTATGCCTGAATAACGGGTCAGAATTTGAATTATATTCAATTTCATATATTTTTTTAAAATATATAATTTTATATACTACGATAAAATTTTAAATATTTTAATTTGGAATATTTAAAAATAGTTTGACTTGATATTTAAAAACAAATATCATCAATACCTAATAAATAAAAATTTTAAAAATTAGACATACACTAATTTGGTTTTCCTAAAACAAATATATTTAAAAAATATTTATAATAGACGGTGGGTTAAATATAATGTATTATATGATGGAATGAGTTATGATCCTTATAACTATTTGAATATTTATTTTTAAGTTCATACAATCAGTTTTTTAAAAATTCTTAATTTTATATTCTACAATAAAAAATAAAAAAATATTTTAATTTGGAAAATTTTTTAAATAGTTTAATATAATATTTTTAAGAATATCATAAATATTTAATAAATCAAAAGATAAAAGTTATAAATACTCTAATTTTATTTTTCAAAGCATAAATATTTAAAATATTTATAGCAAGCAGCAGGTTAAATATAATGTATTATATGATAAAAAGAGGTATGATCTTTATAACCGAAACCATGTTAAGATTATATGATGAGATGAGTTAAATAAGGTTTGACACCTCTAAATATTTAAAATTTTGATTCTATAAGTATATATGAAAATAATGAATGATGGATTGTGCACACAATTTTTTCATTGGGATTCTAAAATAAAAATATAGGTACGCACGGTTGAATTTAATCTTATTATATACCAAAATATGTTTATTATATACGCAATTTTTTTTCACTTACTACTAGCATATATCAAATACATACGTTTTATTTTTAACCAAAAAAACGTAAAAAACCGTAAAAATCGAACTGTAACTAAACCGAATTACATACGGTTTCTATATGGTTTCACTTTCTACAAAACGAAAAAAACGATACTAAACCGAAAAACTGTACCCCACCCCTAATATTTTCTCATCAAACAAAATAAAATAAAATAAAAAATCTTTATATGTCATTGTATTATGTAAAGAATTATTAAAATTGTACTATAAAACAAACAATAATCCAACTTTATATAAATATTTAAAAATTAAAATTTTATCCGTGCTGTTCCAGCACGGGTTATGATCTAGTTGATCTGTAAAGTCGAAACACACAAAATATCTCTCGTGGCATGGCATGCGCCTGTCTGCAAATAAACATTGGGTTATACACCGCTTCAGACTTAAATCATGGTTCTTTTTGTCGTAAATCATGATTCATCTACATCATTCCATTCCCTTTTTAAAAAAAAATTGAATTAGCTAGGTATAACCTTCGTCATTCGTGGGTTTATATACTTATAATTTGAAATCCCGTAATTGTCTGTAGATCTTAGTTATGGTAACACAGTATTCGTTAGCGTTTATATTATGACATTAGTGAATGATGATGACAACATTCATTTTTATCAGGAAAAAAATGATTACAACATTCACGTTCACATTTGAAACAAACGTGGCAAAAAGACATCTAGAGTACTTTGGTTTAATAATAGAAAAAACAAAAGTTCTTTGCCTTATTTTGGCTCATGTTTAGATTAGTTTATAGAAAGGGACAGTTTGGCTCTGGATTATCCAATCTCTAAATTTGATACACATTATATCTAATGAATAGGATATACGAAGGAATATCCAATTAGAGTTGCATACTAGTCAATTTTTTTACATGTAACTGGCATGAAATACGTCATCTTCCATTGAAGTTGAAGATATCGTTTTCATATCAATAAAAAAAAAAGATTGTGAAACATTGGTCCAACATATCTCAAAAAGCACTTCATGTAGACCATACATGCCTTATGGTCCCTATGAGCTTATCAAATCTTTGATAAGTCTTTAACCAAAGTTTAACTATTGTATACTATATCTGATTACATTTTTTAATTACAACTTACAAACATGGCCTAATGATAGTGTACCGACTCAATTATGTGCAGGTGCAGGAGTATTCGGACATTTATCGGACTCGAAGCTTGGAAGAAAAGGCTCGCTAACAGTTGTTTGCATTATCAACGCAATCTTTGGTATCGCAACAGCTTTTTCCCCAAACTACTGGACCTATGTGGTTCTCCGGTTCTTAACTGGTTTCAGCACTGGTGGTGTTGGCCTAACCGCGTTTGTCCTAGCCACTGAACCCATAGGACCGAGCAAACGCGGTGTAGCTGGAATGTCAACTTTCTACTTCTTCTCTGGGGGCATTGCGCTTCTATCAGGCATTGCTTACGTTTTCAGATCGTGGAGGGAACTTTTTATAGTGTCATCTTTACCGTCTCTCTTATTCCTACTCATTGTTATCCCATTCATCTCCGAGTCCCCAAGGTGGTATCTCGTGAGAGGCAGAGTAGACGAGGCGATGAAGCTGATGCATTCGATCGCTAAAACGAACGGGCGTCACGTTCCAGCTGGAGTCACTCTTGCTCTAGACGACGACATGGAAAATAACAACGGCGAGACGAATAATGCTGTTGAGGGTTCGCTCAAAGATGTTTTCTTGTCGCCTCTCATGCGGATCAGACTTCTCATTACAGTTTCCATAAGTTTCACAGTCTCGATTGTATACTACGGACTAAGCCTCAACGTAGTCAACCTCAAGACCAATCTCTACCTCAACGTCTTTGTCAACGCAGTGTCGGAAATGCCAGCATTTGCTATAACAGCGGTTTTGCTAGACAAGTACGGGAGGAAACCGCTGTCCATAGGGACACAGTGGTTCAGCTGCGTTTTCTGCCTCGTTGGATTCGCTGTATGGGGAGCTGGTCCATGGAAATCGGTTAGAATGGTGTCAGGGGTTTTAGGGATATTCGGGATGGCAGGAACGTACAATCTTCTGTTCATATACATCGCGGAGCTGTTTCCAACAGTGGTGAGGAACGCGGCATTGGGTTGTGCGACTCAAGCAGCTCAAATGGGAGCGATTCTGGCGCCATTTGTGGTGGTTTTAGGTGAAGAGTTACCGTTTGGGGTTTTTGCAGTTTGCGGGTTAGTGGGAGGTGGGCTTGCGTTTTACTTGCCAGAGACGTTAAACAAGCCGTTGTATGACACAATGTCTGGAATGCACGAAGCTGAGAGTGAAAGTAACAGAGGAAGAGGAGAAGTAATATGTTAAAGAAACAGAATTTACACTTAGACATGGAGACACAAATCAAGATCTTAGAAAATAGGTGTTTTTGAAATGTCGAATTGTTTTGTAGTCTTACATGTGTATTTTTGCGTTATGAGTGTTTCTTGGTTTTTTCGTGTTGTGATTTTGCATTCAATCAAGTCTTTGGGTTTTGAAATGGTGGTACATGATAACAGAATTAACATTTATTTTGCTACCACAAACAATAGCATTTCATGCACGTTAAACATTAAACAATATTGCTTGCCGTAAATCGGAAAGTGAAAATCTAACCAATTTTGTTTGCCAAAGAATGAGAAAAACTCAAACTCCACATTCGTAAACAAAAGAGTTATTTGTTATGAAACGGGAGGCTTAACATCTTCAGCGACAGGAGAGGCTCCATTAACGTTGAATCCACCTCCAAGCGTGGGATGAATTTGTACACCGGATCCGGCAACAGGGTTAACGGTAATGGTAAAACCAGCCGGGACAGTTACTGTAAAACCATCAGCCTGAATGTCAATTTTGAAGGCAGGTGCAGCGGGTCCATTAAAGCGAAAAACAGCTTCCATCTTTGGAGATCGGATCAGAGAATTGGGGTTTTTTTTGTGAGGATTCAAGCGATGAAGAATTGATCAAAGGGAAAGAAGTAGACAGTAATTCTTAGGTTAAAAGACTTAAAAACAGACTAAATTGGGCTACAAGCAAATGGGCCGGTTTCTATGTTTGCTTTCATTTTTGCAAAAAAAATTCAAACTACATTTACGTGTTTTTATTTTATTTTTGTCAACTAATTCTGCGATTCAAAATCAAACGATTACAACTAGGATAGGCACCATCGGACATATCCGATGTACAAGAGAAATAGCAAGAGCACTAGAGCAACCAAAGCGAAACAAAGCTAAAGACACAAACTCATGCGTGATAAGAATTGTCGAAACGACCAAATATAAAAAATATCGAGAGAGAGACAACTCTCAATCCTAATCTTACAAACGACTCGAAGATAGTCACCGTAACTTTTGATTTTAAGACATAATCCAAAACCTTGGATCTCATCGGAATGAGACTTGTTGCATCTTTCGGTTTTGTAAAGATCATCACATAAGAATATAAGATTATGAAACGGTTAGGAAACTGATTATTCAAAACGATTGGACAATTTTTTTCAAACAGTTTCCGTTTATATATCCAAAACTATTCCTCCTTCTAAAATAGTATTTGTGTGGACACGAAAATCATGGATATGATATCATCGACGCAAAAATCATAAGAATATTTTAAAAGAAAATGATTATTAGATATGTTGTCATGAAAAGGACTCCCTGTGGGTCAATTGGATTCGAACAAATCTGCTCCGTCATGGTCACCTTTGGTCAGCCCGTAGCACAAGTAATGCGGGTTCATGGATGTGGAAGAAAATTTTGAAATATCGAGACATGGCTAAACCTCTACATAAAATGGAGGTCCGATCAGGTAAGCATACCTCTTTCTGGCAGGATACGTGGTGCTCCCTTGGGAGATTAGTTGATATCACTGGCCCCCGTGGTAGCATTGACATGGGAATCTCTTCCAATTGCACTGTAGCCGCAGCTCTCTCGTCGCATCGTCGCCGTAGACATCGCGCAAGTGCTTTGAACCAGATTGAGGAACAAATGGACTCTCTCCGTCTTCTTTCTTCCCACTCTGGTAATGATGTTTCTCTTTGGAAAAGAAGTAATGGTACTTTCAAGAACTCATTTAACTCACAGGAAACTTGGCAAGCGATACGGCAAACAAATCCAACATGTGACTGGTACAAGGGTGTATGGTTCCAACACTCCACACCCAAGTATTCATTCACAGCTTGGATCGCCATTCGAAATCGCCTCGCTACGGGAGACAGACTGTTGCAATGGAACAGGGCTGCAAATGGAGGATGTGTTCTCTGCCAAGAGAGAGTAGAAACAAGGGACCACCTATTCTTCTCTTGTCCCTACTCCTCTCACGTTTGGTCATCTCTAACCCGAGATATGCTTGGACTACGGTTTACAACAAGCTGGGAGTCTCTACTACCTCTCCTCACATCCTCGACAACTCCACAAATTCATTTGTTTGTGTTGCGGTATGTATTTCAACTCTCTATTCATAGTCTTTGGCGAGAACGGAATGGGAGAAGACATGGGGAGCCTCCAACACCGGCCTCGCAGTTAACAAAAGTGATTGACAAGAGTATGAGAAACAGGCTAAGTACCTTGGTTTTGACTGGATCACCCGTTTTCGAAGGCGGGCTGCGATATTGGTTTAGTACCCATTGACGTGGATGATTCTTTCATGTTGTAATTTCTTCCTCAATTGTTTTGAATTTTCAGATTAACGTTGCATTTATTGTAAAACAGTCTTTTTTTGGTGAATAAATTTTACATTCATACAAAAAAAAAAAAAAAAAAAAATTAGTTTTGATACTATTATCATAATACATGATGTTGTCATCAAATTCTCTAGTATTATAGTATTTTAACACTAATAATGTTATTGTCAAAAATTATGACAAATGTCATGAAATCTTTGACAATGTTACTATCTTAATGTGTTGTTTTTAGTTTTCACGGATATATAATGCATTGTGCGACGGAGTAGGCAAAAGGTTCCATGGCCCAATGGATAAGGCGCTGGTCTACGAAACCAGAGATTCTGGGTTCGATCCCCAGTGGAATCGTTTTATTACTACCTCTTTTATTTTTTTTTTCCGGCCAAAATATTTTGTCGCATCAGAGCGGCCGCAGCCGCAAGCAAATAAACAGAATTGGGAGGTTTTCTTTTCCTATAAGCCGATATATCAAACCATTTTTTGCTTTTTGCCGAAGAAACCAAAAAAAAAAATGAATCGGAGGGTGAAGAAGATTTAAGAAAATCCCAACTCGAAATCTTTTTCCTTTTTCTCGTTTTCTTAATCATTGAAGAACATCAAAGAGCTTGCAGAAAGAGACATTCGTACACAACAAACGGGCTTCACTACATCTTATTTGTAATGAAACGAGGATTCTCCGATTCTCCTTCAAGCTCTGGTCCTCCTCCTTCTTCCCGATTCAAATCTAATCCCGAAGGTTTCCGTTCCCTCTCTACATAATCTGGGTTCTTCGTTCTCTGTTGATTCGATTTGTGTTTTTTTTATCCCTTGCTAATTTCTTCTTTGGACCTGAGAGTTGCTTTTGTTAAGCCCGTTAGGAAAAGTTTCGTTCTTTATAGTTTCTATCATGTGTTAACTGTGTTTTGCTGTCTTGTTGGAGTTTTAGTTCAAGTTTTTACTTGGATTCTTATGATTTTTTAGCTTAAAGTCAGTTTCTTTAAGCAATGGTTTTGCCAAAATGGCTATGATTGTGTAAGCTTAAAGTCAGATTCTTTCAGGTGATTCTCAGTTTCTGGAAGATGAAACCACAAAGAATTTTGCCCGGAAAGTTGCTGATCATTACAGTCGGAGAACTAACCAAACATTGGAAGAGCGAGAAGCTAGTCCCATCATCCATTTGAAGAAGCTTAACAATTGGGTTGGTGACTCGTAACATTTCTCTCCTGATAAATTGTTGTATGATGATATTCAATTTTGTTCCTCTTTTTCTTGTTGTTACAAACAGATTAAAAGTGTGTTGATTCAGCTTTATGCTCGTCCTGACGATGCTGTTCTCGACCTTGCCTGTGGGAAGGTTCTTTTCTTAAAACAATCTTATTGTTCATGTCAATTGTTATTTCTCAAAACTGTTCCCAATGTATTGCTTTTACATCTACCAGGGTGGTGATTTGATCAAGTGGGATAAGGCGAGAATCGGGTACTATGTTGGAATCGATATTGCTGAAGGGTCGGTAAGTTTACTGGCTGAATGATAGCTGTATCCTTTTTGCTTGTTTTTTTTTATCTCTATATATCTGAGAAGTTCTTCTATATTGAATTTTGTAACAGATTGAAGATTGTCGTACGCGTTATAATGGTGATGCAGACCATCATCAACGGCGTAAAAAGTTCAGTTTTCCGTCCCGATTATTATGTGGGGATTGTTTTGAGGTACAAAGTGATAAGCTCCTCTCATAGATTAGGAATCTTGTTTAAGGTGTAAACTATTGACATGGTATTATTAGATGACGATGCAACAACAAACCCAAAATTACTTTTGTTTAACCATTTGTAAATCCTAATTGTGGAATTGCATTTCAATGCTTACAGGTAGAGCTAGACAAGATTCTTGAAGAGGATGCCCCTTTTGATATCTGCAGTTGCCAGGTTTTATATTTTTTAATCGGCTTTCTGTTTTAAATACTTTTCCGCTCTAGGTTGAACTGTTTCAGATAACATATTTGGTTTTACTAGTCACGAGAATCTACTTCGGCTTTGTAACTAGGTTGTGCCAAAATGATTTTTCCCCTCTGGCATATTGAAGTTGTAGCGTTAGGTTGAAATATGGTTAGTGGTGTAGTTATGGATTCTAAAGTTACCAATTCATTGTTTAATTGTAGTTTGCTATGCATTACTCATGGACTACTGAGGCACGTGCACGACGAGCTTTAGCAAATGTTTCAGCTTTACTTCGCCCAGGAGGTGTCTTTATCGGAACAATGCCAGATGCCAATGTTATTATAAAAAAACTCAGAGAAGGTTCTTTTCTGTTTCCTTCTTTGCTTAGAATTTGATCTGTCATCCTATGAAAATTGAGTTGTGCTTTACAGCTTCAAACTTAATCTTTAGTATGTTATTTCAACCTATTCTAAGTAAAAAACGTAATTTTCCTATACATTTCGTTCTAGTTTTTCCTCAGTTCTTCTGGGATTTGGAAATTAAACTGTTCTTTGTTGTATACTGAATACGCAGCTGAAGGTTTGGAGATTGGTAATAGTGTATACTGGATTCGTTTTGGTGAAGAGTATTCCCAAAAGGTGACCTTTCTTTGTCCTTAATTTAACTTAATTCGTTTAGCAGAATGTCCTCTCTTTCCCGATTCTGATGATGATTTTCTCGTTATGTGGTTCAGAAGTTCAAATCTAGCAGCCCATTTGGTATCGAATACGTATTTCATCTGGAGGTACTTAATTTATGTACAATATTCTTGAGATATTCACTTAGTCTACCACAGAAACTGCATTGTAAAAGAAAATATATCGATGTAGATAGATTGTAAGAACACCACGAGCTATTCAATGGAGATTCCAGAAACTTCCCTTGTCATTTTTGCTGTTAAAAAGAAAATATAACATAGGAACTTGTATTGTAGGATGCTGTTGATTGTCCTGAATGGATTGTGCCCTTTAACGTCTTCAAGTCTTTAGCAGAAGAGGTAATTACTTGATGCCGTGTTAACTTGAAAACCTTCTAATTGCCAAAAACACTGGTTTATATATGTGAGTGTGACATTGTCCCATGAACTTTTGAATAGTATGATTTAGAGTTGGTATTTGTGAAGAACTCCCACGAGTTTGTCCATGAGTATATGAAAAAGCCAGAGTTTGTGGAACTCATGAGAAGGCTTGGTGCTTTGGGTGATGGTAACAATGATCAGAGTAAGTCTCTATCCGATTCTTGCTTCATATCATCCTTTTGATTCTAACCAAATGCATGCGAGAAAACATAACTAACTCGATTAGTATCTTTTCAGGTACATTATCAGCTGATGAATGGGAAGCTGCATATCTATACCTCTCTTTTGTCTTGAGGAAGGTTTGTCTCCTTTTTAACATCTTTCGATTTTCACTTTTCCTGCTTTTTCGATAATGTTTTTTAACGGGTGGGGTTTTATAGAGGGGAGAACCAGATGGAGCTCGAAGGAGCGGACGGAGGAAGAATGGGAAAATGAACTTATCGAAAGACGATGTTTTGTATATCGATAGCTGAAGCGTAAAAGAGTGTTCCTTTTATACACCAGAGTATCTCAAGTCTCTGTTTTGGTCTCACTTCGTTCTCTTACGTTTTTGGCCATTTGAATTGAGAGATTGTTTTACTTTCGAAAATCTGATCCCTTCACAAAGAAAGCCCAATAATACGATAGTCGTTGAACACTTGTGTTTTCAAGTGTGTAGGCTTTGATATACCATTAGGATGATGAACATGATAAACTGTAATATGATGTATTCGCAGCGTACCTTGTTTAACGAGGTCCATGAATTTTTTGTTGTATTATTATGTTTTGAGATTAGATCGACTTTGAACTTGAGGAAATTGAGAAAGATTCAATCTTTTGTTATGTTACTACTCTTTTAGTTTCGATCTCACTTTCTCTTTCTTTTACTCTAAAAAAAGACGCAAGATTTTAAGAGTTATCTGTTTTTCTTTACCACACTTAACATAGAACAATGACAAGAAAGTTTCTTATAAAGCTTAAACAATTGAGAGATCAAACAAAACTTAGTCACGACATGTTTGTCTTTTGTTTCTCCTTATGTCAATGTTCATTAATTGCACAAGGAGACGCCATAGTTGAGACTTGAAAGCATGTTCTTTCCATAAAGATGTCGAGTGTACTTTCTGATCAAGAACAAAGTCGAGCATGTGACTTTGTTTGGTTCTTTTTTCGTTTGAAACATTCTGTTTTGTTTTCATGTCTTTTGCTATAGATTTAAACAATCGAACCTCTGGTTGAGCTAGTGCACTCTACTTTTCAAACATTTTGAAGAATTATGAACTTGCATTTCTTTAATTTTAGGCTAAAAGATGAATAATATCACAAGTGGCTGTCTCTTAAATTAGAGATGAACCAAAGAACCTAAATTAAAACACATCTACTTAACGGAATCTGTAGATAAGAATTGAATTACTTTATGTAAACTAATTGATACCAAAACCACGTCATGCTTAATGAAAGTGATCATTAGAAAATACTGCGTGCTAAGTTCACAATTTCATGTATTTCTTTCAAAATTTGAAAACCTTTGTGTATGTAAAACTTGTAAAGATGACCCCATTTGAACAATTAAAAATACTTAACTAATATAGTAATGTTTCAATATTTGCACCATTTTTATTACACCGACAACATCATTTGGCTCGTATCGGTCTCACTAACAACATCGTTTATCATGTTGATGTTGCAAGCATCCCAAGTTTAATAACAAAGTAGATGACAAAGATATAATTCTTTTTGGTACGAAAAGCTACATATCTCTCTAGACGTAGGCAAACTAATATACTTTTATAATTTTATAGGTTAATCATTATGTGATAATCAAATGCACAAAGTCCAATAATTAATGTTTAATTAAAGACGTTACTTTCTCTTTAAGATGATATTCAATTAAGTAAGCTTCGTCTCAAGAATATAATCAATCATGGCAGATCGAGAAAAGTAGAACAAAAAGTCGCTCCATTATTTGTTCTCTTCATATTGTTATCATCAATATTCTTTTTCCTTTTTCCTTGCCTTAGACATAGAGTAAATAAAAAAAAACAATTTTGGTCAATAAAATTATTTATTTTTATGATGCAAAAATGAGGTATTGCTATCATACAACTTCAATCTATCCTATGCTCTAACCAATTTTCCACATATTGACGATTTTCCTCGTACTTTTGATTATGTAGAAATTAGAAGTATCAAAACACCATTTATGTTTTTTACAACTTAAAGATTTGTATATATCTAGAAATAGTCCAGTATACTATACGTTTAGATGGTTAGGAGTTGGCTTATCGTCTGCTATTGAGTAACACTTTTCTCAACAATGGTTGTTGTTAGTTAAAGTTGTATATCAATTTCACTAGATGTATAGAGCTACAAATCAAAAGATTAATATCGTAACTAAACAGCTGTTAGTTTTGAACCGTGATTAGTCTTAGACCTCTAGTTTTGAAAATTAACTACGGGCTACGAGTATTACAAATTTATTAACATTGATAACTGAAGAATCTCGAGCCAAAATCCAAACTAATCTCTACAACTTGTACGAAAATTAGATTTTGAGTCATATAAGCCATCCATAATTACAAATTACGATTGAAATCACAATAGAATAACTCGAATTCTAATATACTTGTCCAAAATAAATCATTCAATCACTAGACCACTATATGAGTAAGTGTATAATTATATTTTAAATGGTAATTGTCGTTATATAAAAGTAGCATAATTTTGTAAATATAGTTTTGAACAATTCATTCGAGATTGGCACCTAACCCCTTTTTAATAGATAGAGATTTGAATAAGAAGTGAGCCCATATAATACAGGTCGGGAGAATGTTCGGACAGAGTTGTCCATATCACTTCTATGATATTCTTTTACTGCCAATTTTGTTTTTTTTTTTTTTTTAGAGAAGAGTCAATTTTATATTGTTGTTGATATCGATAAGATAAACGTTTAAAAGATATTTTTGTTGGAAGCACTAGTTGAAAATAAGTAAATAATTAATATGTCAACTCCTAAAAAGGATGTATTACTATGGTATATTACATATTTATTTCTTTTTTGACTTATAATAAGCTGGAACTTGTCATGCTGTGATTTTCTAAAAACGACAGCTTCAGTTTTTTTTTTTATCTTTCATCTTTCCACAGAGACAAAGCATTGACACATTACCCCGAATTTTCGGAGAAGAAACTCAATCTAATTTATGAGTCATGACAACTTTGTGACATGACCAAAATTTTTTATGGCAAATCAAAAACTGTTTTAGTTAACACTTAACATGATTAACCAGCGGGATACGACCACTTTGTTATAAATCTATCTGACTCTTTCGTTTAACTTATAACTTCTCTTTTATTTTGTTAAACATTTTGAGATATTTTGAAATAAAAAAACCAGGCCAATTAACCAATTATAGAAATAAGTTATTTGAATTCATCCGTATCAGAGTCAAATAATATATTATTTACAAGAGGATAGGCAAGTTTTTGTAGAGATGTCAACCCCTAATTATACTAATTAAAAAACAGAAATCGATTAATTAGATCTAGAAAGAAGAATTATGATTTGGTCTACATCTGTGGGGTTAGGGCGGGTGGAAAAGTTGGTGACGATGAATTCATTATGTTTTATTTAGAAATTACCAGCTCGATTATTAATATATCCACATAATATTTCATGAAATATTTAATAAAGATATATATGTCAATCAAACGAATAATACTAGTTATAAAATCATATTTCTGATCAAAGTACGTTTGCTCAAATGATATCAATTCCTCTTTATAGCACGTAATTAGGAAAATATTACATGTATGATAAATCATATTTTATAATTATATATATAATGTTTTTAATCAAAAATATATAATGTCTCAAAATTCTTGAAATTTTGTAAAAAATAGATTGTTTCAATTTTCGTGAAATTTTATTAAATGAAAAATGGCGAGAGAAATTTATGATTTTATTCAGGCTTAGTTTAGATTTTGACTAACTAATATTGTGGGATTTGTTTTCTTTTAGTAATAGCAAATAGATTATGTTTTATATTAGGGTTTTCTACAAAAAAAAAATTCTTCAAGTCATCAATTTTTGTAATTTTACCTTTCATCTATAAATAATGCAGATTAATCATACGAAGTCAAAAATAATATGCAATATAACTCTTATACGTATATTGTAAACGTTTTCACGGTCACTCACATATATTAGATTTTCAAAATTTAAATAAGAGTTAAAATCCTCGTCGCGAATGCTTCGATTTGACATATTGATTTTAAAAAATTTACAAACTTGACTATAGCGAAAAAAATATATATTACGAATTATTTTTAATTTCGTAAGATTAATCTATATTTTTAAAATTTAAAGGTAAATTACAAAAATTAAAGAGTTGGATGATTTTTTGCACAAAACTCTTTATATTAGAAAACCTATTGATTTTACGTTTTGCTTCAAACTAAAGAACATAAATCATGAATTTTCCAAGAGAAAACACGTTTATTACAACAAATTAGAAGCTAATATTGAATTATCCAAATGTAGAAGTCATCAATCTAGATATGAACTCTACCACTAGCTGGCCTAAATATAACTTTTACATATTATTAGTACGCAAGTAAGATAATAATAATCAATTAAATATAACGTTTGTGTGGGGGAAGATGCTACTAGAATAAGCAAGTACGGCGGGGATATGATTGAAAGAAAGAAAAACAAAACAAAAATAATAATGAAGCAATCGACGAATTAAGTGCGCAAAATTTATAATTAATTTATTCATATATTTAATATCTTAAGGTAGTTGAAAGAATTAAGAAATTGATATTACATTACAAAAAGGGATTTTGTCACGTAATGACTTATATAAGACATATTGAGACAGACAACAATTCCATTTGATCTGTCCAAGTGGAAGTCTTAGCTGTTTCTATTTCCTTCAGCATTTTTTCTCTTCTTCTTCATCTTCTTTCGCCAATTAGCGCTTTATGGGCGGCTTATATTACTAATTTACTATATTGTATACAAATATTTAGTATTATTGTATACACGTATGTAGATATATTCCCTCGTACATTCACTTACCAAGATATGTTTTGAATAGCGCCGAATTTAATAACAAATTATACCAACATATATACCAACAAATTACTTAGCATGATATAATATTTTTTAATTACATTTTCTCATATAAGGATCCAAACACCAATGGCGAAAAAGAAAAGGATCCAAACAGAAATACTCTTTAACATAAAAAAAAATTATTGTCAACAAGAAAATGTAATTTTATTGCTACTTTTTTTGTTTTTGTTAATCTATGATTTATTATATACTGTACATTAAAATTTGTTTGTGAAAACATATATATTAACCATATATATTTATGGCTAGGTGATATGTAGAATATGCATACACATGGCTTTATATGTCTTATAATATGTGGCGAAATCATGGAGAGTGGAGAAACTGAAATTGGTGATAGCAAAGATGTAACTTTTTTCTATGATCTAATCATTAACTTAAGCATTTAACATTTGACGCCAATACGAATGGTACGACTTTGCTTCTTCGTGTCAAATATTTACCTCCAAGTTATACGATTTTACTTATTTCATCTCAATTTGATAAAACATTCCACTAACTACATATAATACCTTCTTCTTTTTTGAGATTAAAAAAAAAAACAAAAAATACCTTCTTCTTTTACACATACAATGCAGTTAATTACTTT